TAAACTTCTAGTCTTTGAAAGTTATTATTACTAACTGTTTTGGATAATAAAGAAATGCAGGTTAGAAATTAGTCACCGTAATGTGGGATGTCCTTCTGTATATATGTTACTTTTATTCGTTGATGAATAAAGCTGTTTTGACCAATAGCTTAGCAGAGTAATGTCAGGAGGGAAATCTAAACAGCGATAGGGATACAGAGACTAGGTGGAGTCAAGCAAATACCAGCCAGTTGCCAAGGAAATAAGACATGTAGAAAATGAGGTAATGCCACGGCCATGTGGCAAATAGACTAATAGAAGTGGGTTAGTTTAAGATGTAAGAGCTAGTTAGGAATATGCCTGAACCATCGGCCAAACAGTATTGTAATTAATATAGTTTCTATGTGATTATTCAAGTCTGGGAGGCCTGGTAATGGACGTTTAGTCTCTGACTACATCACTTATGACAATCAAACCTGTAGTCGTGTTAGGTATGTTTTCAAGGTTAAACAGAAATATTTTATATAGATAGATGATCTTCAAATACTTCAGAGCCTTTAAACATGGCATTTAAGATGTTTAATAACTTAAGCTTTTTATGACAGTGAGCGATGTCTGCTCCTGGCTGTACCAATTTACTTCATTAAAGGATGATGGGTGTTGAAGAACCTCCATACGGAGTTCGCTTTCATTGTGGCAAAGCTAGAAATTTGGGCAAGAAAATGCCCTTGCCTTGACTGCTAACAGTGTGCTGTGCAAACTGGACAAGCAGGACACAAAGGAAAAAGATTGCTGAACTTTGCTAAGACAAGGTATAACAGTCCTTCAAAATTCCTGTTTCACAGAAAGGTCCATCAGATATTCTAGGCCCATAGGCTGAAGGTGGATGCTCCAACGGCACAGAGGAACCTTGGATGACTTGTATAGTTTTGGAAGTTGCTCGCTTTGTTCTCTTGTTTACTCAGGCAATAGTATATTCTTCTCTGGTCCCTGATGGAGGTGAACATGAGACAGTTACAGTTTTTCTGGTGACCAAATTCAGAAAAATAAAAGAGATGTAAAGTTTATAAGGTCAAGAAACATAAAAGCTTATATTGTTTATCTAAGGAAATGGTTTGAGGTCTAAAAAGATAATTTTGGGTTGGTAATAGAAGCTACAATGGGAAGTAAGTTAGGTACACGACTTTGGATTCACCAAGATAGGACAGATAATGGAGTATTTTCTCTGGATTTGCCAAATGTGAATGGACTGGATATTGTAAGTGTAATTCTTTTTTTTAAAAGATTTATATATTTGGGCTGAAGAGATGGCTCAGCAGTTAAGAACAATGGCTGCTCTCCCAAAGGTCCTGAGTTCAATCCCCAGCAACCACATGGTGGCTCACAACCATCTATAAAGAGATCTGGTGCCCTTTTCTGCCCTGAAGGTGTACATGCAGGCAGAACACTGTATCCATGATAAATAAGTAAATCTTTTTTAAAATATTTATATATTTATTATATATAGTGTTCTGTCTGCTTGCATGTCTGTATGCCAGAAGAGGGCACTGGATCTCATTACAGATGTCTGTGAGTCACCATGTAGCTAATGGGAATTGAACTCAGGATCACTGGAAGAGCAGTCAGTGCTCTTAACCTCTGAGCCACCTCTCCAGCCCCATGTAAGTGCAATTCTTACTTGATAATTGTTCTTATTGTATATAGTCTTACTATGTTAAAGCTAAAACCTTTCTTTTTATTTAGACAAAAGGGAGAAATGTTGCCTAATATTTGTTTAACTATGTAAAGATATGTTGCATTTGTTTATGTTGTGAATATTTGTTTAAGATGTATTGCATTGGGCTGGAGAGATGGCTCAGAGGTTAAGAGCATTGCCTGCTCTTCCAAAGGTCCTGAGTTCAATTCCCAGCAACCACATGGTGGCTCACAACCATCTGTTGAGGGTCTGTTGCCCTCTTCTGGCCAGCAGACATACAGACAGACTATTGTATACATAATAAATAAATAAATATTTTTAAAAAAAAGATGTATTGCATTTGTTTAACTATGTAAAGACGTGTTGCTGTTTTACTTTGCCTGCCTAAGGCACCTGATTGATCTAATAAAAAGCTAAATGGCGGGGCTGGAGAGATGGCTCAGTGGTTAAGAGCATTGCTTGCTCTTCCAAAGGTCCTGAGTTCAATTCCCAGCAACCACATGGTGGCTCACAACCATCTGTAATGAGGTCTGGTGCCCTCTTCAGGCATACATGCAGACAGACTATTGTATACATAATAAATAAATAAATGAAAAAAAAAAGCTAAATGGCAATAGCATAGGAGGAGGTATAGGCAGAACTTCCGGGCAGGAAGAGTAAGGAGGAGGAGGAATTTAGGCTCAAAGAAAAAGAAAATGAGATGGCAGGAAGATACTAGACTTGGAGAAAGCAGGATATACAGAATGAAAGAAAGGTAAAAAGCCCCAAGCCAAAATGTAGATTAATAGAAACTTATTAAATTAAGTTAAAAGAGCTGGTGGGATAACCTAAACTAAGTCCAAGCATTCAGAATTAATAATAAATCTTTGTGTCTATATTTGGTTGGAGGCCCAAAGAACATTCCAACTACAGCCTCTCGTTCTCATGAAGGTGACAACTGTAGTTATGCACCATCCAAAAGCTTCCATTCCCTGGGCCATCACACTCGCCCAGGGAAAGCATCTTATGTCAAACAAAGATTTTGTTTGAGTCAGGCATGGTAGCGCATACCTTTAATCCCAGCACTTGGGAGGCAGAAGCAGAAGGATCTTTGTGAGTTCCAGGCCAGCCTGGTCCACAGAACAAGTTCCAGGTCAGCCAGAGTAGCACTAATTATTAACTAATTAACTAACGGATTAATTAACTAGCTAAAAGATTTTATTTGAAAATGTTAGGCTGGGGCTTGGGACTAGTCAGGCCATGCTGGCTGGCAGGACCTCTGTCTCCAACCTCACAGCAGCTATAAAAAGAAATGGCCTGCACCGCCCTGTAATCCTCACTTCCCTAAGCAATCAGTGGTGACAGGTGGCACTTCTCATATGATGGACACACATGAGCTGAAGAGCCAAACCTTTTCTCCTTCCCTTGAGGCTGCGGTGATAGGTGATTGTGAGCCTACAGTCACGCGTACTGGGAAATGAACTCCATCCTCTGGAATAGCAGTATGTGCTCCTCACCGTCAAGTCATCTCTCCGTCCTCAAGCAGGTAGTACTGACTGTTCATTAGTTACATGGAATGGGATTGCCTGCTGCCCGGGAACTTGCAAGATGGGACACCACGCCTCACTCCGGTTAGTCTCCTGGGCCTAGAATCTGTGAACTACCACACAGTTTCTGTAGCATTAACAACGCTTCGAATAAACCACTTACTCCGAACCATAATCTGTCTCAGGATTCCTCTTGAACCCAAATGTGAGACTTTATAGAAAGCTCATTATAAATATGTGCATGCTAATAATGCAATTATTGTTGTTTGTTTTGAGATGGAGTTTTATTCTGCAACCTGGGCTGGCCTCAAGCTCTTGGCTATCCTTCCATTTTAGCCTCTAAAGCACTGGGATTATAGGTGTGTACCCCAAGCCAGGTTAGTAAATGCAAAATCAATTATTATTTAAGTGAGACCTCTCATGCAGCCCAGGCTGGCTTTGAACTCATTATGTACTGAAGAATGATCTTAAATTCCTGATCTTCCTGCAACCACCTCCCAGATGCTAGGAATGCAGTCCTGTGACATCTTGTCTGGTTTGTGCAGTGCTGTGGATGGAACCCAGGACTTTAGCCAGGTTAGGCAAGCATTCTAAAAGCAAAGCTAAGGGCTGGAGAGATGGTTTAGCAGTTAAGAGCACTGACTGCTCTTCCAGAGGATCAGGTTCAATTCCCAGCACGCATATGGCCAATCACAACCGTCTGTAACGCCAATTCCAGGAGATGTGTTGATCTCATCTGATCTATACCTACATCAGGTGTACATACATATAAGCAAGGAAAACATACTAAAAAATTAAATCTTTAGCCGGGCGGTGGTGGTGCATGCCTTTAATCCCAGTACTCGGGAGTCAGACAGGTGGATCTCTGTGAGTTCAAGGCCAGTCTGGTCTACAAAGCGAGTTCCAGGACAGGCTCCAAAGCTACAGAGAAAATTCTGCGTCAAAAAACCAAATAAATAAATAAATCTTTAAAAAAAAAAAGCTGAGCTACTTGGGTGGTGGTAGGGCACACATTTAATCCAGGCTCCAAAGCTACAGAGAAAATCCTGTCTCAAAAAACTTGATAGACTTTTAAAAATCTTTTAAAAATCTGTGTTAGCCGAGTGGTGGTGCCACACACCTTTAATCCCAGCACTCGAGAGGCAGAGGCAGGTAGATCTGTGAGTTTGAGGCCAGCCTGGTCTGTTCCGATGCTATACAGGGAAACCCTGTCTCGAAAAACAAAACAAATAAATAAAAATTTAAAAACTGAGCTAATCCTTCAGTTCATGATGTACATTTGTTGTTGTTTTTCGTTTTTGTTTTTTTGAGACAGGATTTCTTTGTACCGTTAAGAGCCTGTCCTGGAACTCACGCTGCAGACCAGACTAGCCTCAGACTCACAGAGATCCGCCTGCCTCTGCTTCCCGAGTGCTGGGATTAAAGGCGTGCGCCACAACCGCCCGGCCTTAGCAGATTCTTCAAGTTTCTTATATTTGCTGTGGAGGTTTGCGTGATGGTGTTGGCTGGTCTCTACCTAAAGGACCTTCTCCCAGAGCCGCGGGACTCTGTGCCACCGAACTTGTGCCCTGAATTCCCAGGGCCTCCCGCTTCTTCCACCTCTCATCGTCCCTTCCCGACCTGGCCAGCAGGTGACGCCGTCGGGGACACTTGTTTTCCCCTACTCCAGTCCTCTGAGAGTGAGCGAACCATCAGAGACGAAGACCTCCCACTTTCCTAGAGAGATCAAATGGGCGTTTGGTTCACGGGGGTTGAAGTGGGTGGTGAAGAAGGACGACCCGGAAACGAAATGGGGAGGGGCAACTTCCGTTCTTTGTTCTGTTCTCGGTTGTGTGGGTCTGTGACAGGTTCCAACAGGGCCTGGTCCGTGTCCGGCCCCTAAGTCTTACGTCCCTGTCCCCAGGGTGAGTGGGTCGTCTTCGGGACTCGCGGTGAGGCGGAAGTGTGGTCGCCGGGAAGGGGGTTGGTGTTCACGCCTCTGCGACCCGCGGGGTCCCCGGCCCGGCTCCGCGGGGTTCCCGGGCACTCCTTTCCCCCGCGGCCGCTGCCCAGCTCCGCAAGCCCGGCTCCTCGAGCTCAGCGGGTTCCTTCGTGTCGCGGATTGGGACTCCGGGTCTGCTCGTGTCCTCCACCGCCAGCCCCAGTGTTTGAAATTCCCAGCGTCGCTGCAAGAGGTCCCTCTCTTTAAAGCAGCTGATGACAGCCAGCCTTCCGAACTTGGTACTCTCAGTGCACCGTTTTCTGTGCTGGGGCAGGAGAAGGAAGTTTTCCCTCTGCTGGGTTGGAGAGTGAGAGTAGTTCTGTATCGCAGTTGAGAACTAGGGCTTGGGAGGAGGTGCGAACTCAGGTCCTCGGGAAGATCCTGCGGGGACCTCACCAAGACCTAATGTCCTATAGGTAGGTTTTAGTTTACTGCCTGATACTCTTTCCTCAGAAAGCTGTACAACGCTGGAGCGGACTCCCTGCGGAAAGTGGCTGAGTATGTCCAGTGCATTGGCTGACTAAGACACTAAGAACCTAGATCGACACAAAACGTTCAGTTCCTGTCAGCTCCCTAGGGTGCAATGAAAAGACAACATGTGATGGTCTTCGTTGGTAGTTATTAGAATATAACCTTTTCCCCTCCATACCTCTTAAGCATCTATATTAGAAATAAACTTCACGTGAAGTTTTTTTTTCCATTTTGCTCCCTTAATCATACGGGACTGGTATCACCTAAAGCAGAGGTTCTCAACCTTACTAATGCTGCGACCCTTTAATACAGTTCCTCATGATGTGGTGAACCCCAACCAGACAGTTATTTTTGTTGCTATTTCATAACTAATTTTGCTACTGTTATGAATTGTAATGTAAACACCTGTGTTTTCTGATGGTCTTAGGCGACCCCTGTGAAAGGGTCGTTTGACACCCCCTCCCATTGGGAAACCGCTAACCTAAAATGAATTTCCTGCAATTAGCGAAGCTTGCTGGCTCACACCTGTAATCCCAGCACAGATGCAAATGAAGCAGGAATAGGAATGTAATTTCGAGGCCAGCCTGTACGATACAGTGAGTTCTAAGCTAGTCTGGGGTATGCCATGAGGTCTTACCCAGTTACAAAAGACCAAAAATAAATAAAACCACAAGAGCTGAACAAAAGGTGCCACGTTTGCTTTGCTACTTTACTCTTACACTTACAGGGATTAAGTTCTTAGAAGAACGGATCCAGGAAGGGAGGCTTCTCTTGACCTGTCCTCACTGTCACGTGTCTTTCTTGGTTGGCTGAGCAGCTTGAGGGGGTGGATTTGGCAGCATGGCAGAGGAAGGGCTCTGCCCACACCCAGATGGCAGGAGCACCGGAGTCTCTATGAGAAACATTGTTTGCTGACTTAGACACTGGGGATTTGTCCTCAACAGTATGCCTTTGAGTTCCAGCTTCAATTAACCCGGCCTTGAATGGAGAGCATTGCCTTATTACTCTGGTGTTTGTTGTTTTTGGAGATAGGATCTCTGTACAAAGCCCTGGCTGTCCTTCAACTCCGAGGCTGACCAGGCTGACATTAAAGTCGGCCTCCCAAGTATTGGGATCAAAGGCATGGGTTCACCATGCTAGCTTGCCTTTTACTTTGGAGTCAGCCTTGCAGAGCGCGCGCGCGCGTGCGTGCGTGCGTGCGTGCGTGCGTGCGTGTGTGTGTGTGTGGGTGTGTGTGTGTGGGTGTGTGTGTGTGTGTGGGTGTTTCTGGGAGATAGGGGCTGGGTTGGAGCTCACAATCCTGTCTCAGTCTCTCAGGTGCTGGGGATTTCAGGCCTGTGTCAAGTTGTTGATCTTTACCAAGCCCCTGACAGGGTTTCTCTGTAGCCTGGCTGTCCTGAAACTTGCTCTGTAGACCAGGCTGGCCTCAAATTTAGAGATCTGCCTGCCACTGTCTTTCTTGTGCCAGAATTAAAGGCACATGCCCCCACTACCACCTGACTGATTTGCCTTTTTAAAATGAGATAATTTTGATTTGTCTTTTTAAAAGGAGATAATTTTGTTGTTTTTGTCTTTTTTGCGATGGGGTCTCATAGTGTTGCCAGATTGGTCTGTTTTATTTTTATTTTTTTAATATTTATTTATTATGTATACAATGTTCTGTCTGTGTGTATGCCTGAAGGCCAGAAGAGGGCCCCAGACCTCATTACAGATGGTTGTGAGCCACCATGTGGTTGCTGGGAATTGAACTCAGGACCTTTGGAAGAGCAGGCAATGCTCTTAACCGCTGAGCCATCTCTCCAGCCCTGTTTTGTTTTTTATGTGAATGGGTGTTTTGCCTGTGTGTATGTCTGTGTGCCGTGTGCATGCAGTGTCTCCAGAGGCCAAAAGAGGGCGTCAAATCCCTTGGGACTGGAGTTACTGGTGGTTGTGAGCCCTCCAGTAATCAAACCCTGAGTCCTCTGGAAGGGCAGCCAGTGCTCTTACTCACTGACCATCTAGTCCCTTGTTTGTTTTGTGAGACAGAATCTCATAAAGGGCTATGATATCTGATTTTTTTTTTAAAAAAAGAGGTGTGTAGTAGTTACTTTTATATTATGTGCATGCTGTTTTGCCTGCATATATGTCTCTGCACCATGTATGTGCCTGGTGTCTTCAAAGTCCTGAAGAAGGCATTGGGTTTCCTGGAACTGGAGTTCCAGATGCTGTGAGTTGCAGTGTGGATGGTGGGAATCAAACTGAGGTCTTCAGGAAGAGCTGCAAGTGCTCTTAACCACCGAGTCACCTCTCTAGTCCCAAGATAAGGCTTCTTTTCTTTTCTTTTCTTTTCTTTTCTTTTCTTTTCTTTTCTTTTCTTTCTTTCTTTCTTTCTTTTCTTTTTTTTTTTTTTTTTTTTTGAGACAGGTTTTCTCTGCATAGCCTTAGCTGCTCTGAAGCCCACTCTGTAGACTAGACTGTCCTTGAACTCACAGAGATCTGCCTCTGCCTCCCAAGTGCTGGGATTAAAGGTGTGTGCCACTGCTGCCCAGCAAGATAAGGTTTCTCACAGCACAGGTTGGCCTTGAACTCCTGATCCCTCCACCACCTCCCTAGTGCTGGCGTTACAGGTACCTGCCACCATAACTGGCTCAAGGTCAGTCATCTCATTCGGGTGAATGACACCCCCCCCCCCCCATAGTTGTCACTGAAAGTGCTGGGTGGGGCAAAATTTGGAAATCAGGATTCCTTGTGTGGTCTCATCACAGACATGTCCATACCCACAGGGATCTGAGAGAGTAGTTCTGTGTTTCCTCTCATGATTCCTGTGTATTGAGCTGCGTTTCCCTTTCTGAAGTTTGGAGGCATTTTTAAAATTCAGCTGTGGGCCTTTTGCCTTTGCAGTTCTCCTTCAGAACCTGCTTCCTGCTGCGTCTACACCTGGGAGAGCAGAGACCAGAACATTTCATTCTACCTATGGAAACTCAGGCTGACCTTGCATCTCAGGAACCTCCACCCCTGCTGGAGAGTGGTAAGATGTGGGCTTGGGAAACGGGGTAGGGTTGTTCTCGTCTTTTTCTGCTGTTTACTTGCTTATTTTTTTTCCTTTGGGACAGGGTCTCTCTTTGTTTTTTGTTTTTTTAATGTTTTATTATTATGTATACAGTATTCTGCCTTCATGTACACCTGCAGGCCAGAAGAGGGCATCAGATCTCATTACAGATGGTTGTGAGCCACCATGTGGTTGCTGGGAATTGATCTTTTGGAAGAACAGTCAGGGATCTTAACTGCTGAGCCATCTCTCCAGCCCCTCTCTATTTTGCCATGACTGACCAGAAACTCACTATGTACACTAGGTTGGTCTGAACCTTACAGATCCAGCTGCCAGGCATACTGAGTGCTGGGATTAAAGGTGTGGGCCACCACACTTGCTTGGTATGCTTGTTTGTCTTTTGAGACAGGGTCTCATTATGTAGCCCAAACTGGCCTTGAATTTTCTATATTCTTCACATGTATCTGGAGTGTTGGGTTTAAACAGATATCTGTTACCATGCCCTGTCTCATTGTGTGTGTGTGTGTGTGTGTGTGTGTGTGTGTGTGTGTGTGTGTGTGTGTGTTGAGACAGGGTCTCACTGCAGCCCTGGATGACCAAGGACTTTCTATGTAGGCCAGGCTATCTTGGAACTCCCAGAGATCTACCTGCTTCTGCCCCTGGGGTGCCAGGATTAAAGGCATGTGGCACCACACCCAAACCAAAATAAACTTTTATTGAAGTATCTTTTTTTTTAAAAAAAAATTAAGTTTATTTATTTTGTGTGTTATGCCACTGTGCACCGGTCTATGCAGACAGGTGAGTTGGCAATCTCTGGAGCTGGTTCTCTCCTTCCACCATGTGAGCTGCTGGTGGGCATCAAACTCAGGTAGTCAGGCTTTGTCCCAGTGCCTTTACCCATTGAGCCGTCTGCCTGCCCAGAACTCTTGAAACGTTTTGTATTACCGACAGTGATTATGTAGGATATTTATTGGGTTTCATTATGTTTTCATGCTTTTCTTTCAGACTTTAAAGAGTTGTGGGGTTGGAGAGATGGCTCAGTGGGTAAAAGATCTTTCCACGGAAGCATGAGAACGAGGTTGAATCCCCAGAGCCTACATGAAACTAGATGTGTAGTAAGAATGTCTGTAATCCCAGCATTCCAATGGTGAGGTGGAGCTAGAGACTGGGAAAGCGCAGACGCTCATAGGCCAGCTAGCATAGCACGTGGAGCAGAAAAACAACAAAATGTCCATTCTCACAAGGTGGAAGGCAGGGAGTGACGCTTGAGGTTGTCCCCTGACCACCACATGTGCACTGTGGCCTGTATGCACCCACCCTCACACAGCCATTCCTACACAAAAATTCCCTGACCATTAGAAAGTTGTGTGGGAGTAGGACTTACAGGGTACTTCCTGGGAATGGAGCCCAGGGTCATACATTTGCTAGGTAAGCACTAAGCACTGAGCTAACAGCTACAGCTTTCAACCTGAATGGTGTTTCCATGCTTACTAGGAAGAAGCTTTTAGAATCCGTTTTGTCAAATCTAGTTATGTGTAGTGGGTTAGAGCTGAGAGACAAGCACAGAACTTATGGCTGATGGGGAAAGGTATGTAGTCAAGTGCAGAGCTAGGAAACATTTCTGTCTCGTGTGTGTGTGTGTGTGTGTGTGTGTGTGTGTGTTTGGTCTTTGAATGAAGAAAGAGATGTGGGTGTTGTGTTTTCTGTCAGGGCTTAAGGGAAGCTGCTTATTTTCCTCTGCCTAAGATCTACGAGAGTTCGTGTTAGTAGAAGGAGAATGAGAACAGAACTGGTTCCTGGCCGCGCTTGAAGAGCAGGCATGAGCAGTCTGAGTGGCTGCTGCTGTAGCGTGTGGTGGCTGCTGCTGTAGCGCGTGGTGGCTGCTGCTGTAGCGCTTAGCATGCACAAAGCTGGGACTTTGATCCTCAGCACCACCATGAGAAAAAGAATATGGCATTCATGAAAGCAGAGACTGGGTGGTTGTTTTTAGGCATGTGACCTTGGGTCAGAAAGCAGGCAGATTGATTCCTGACCCTGGTATTGTCCTTCAGCTCTTTCTTCTTCAGAAGTCCCTTCCTTTCCTGACAAGGACAGTCTGGGGCATGAGATGTTGGCTGCTGCACTTCTGAAGGCCAAGTCCCAGGTAAGCCATGCTTCGCTTCATTCTTTCCCTCTTGTTCTGTGAATAGATTTTGTAGTGACGTATCCTTTAGTGCCCTAAACTCTAATTCTTAAAACTGGTTCTGGGTTCAATGAGATGACTCAGTGGATAAAGATTTGTGCTGCCAGCCGGGCAGTGGTAGTGCATGCCTTTAATCACAGTACTTGGAAGACAGAGGAACGGGGATCTTCGTGAGTTCCAGGACAGGCAGAGCTACACAGAGACCCTGTCTGGAAAAAGAAACAAAAATGGTGCTTGCTGCTAACCCTGCCAACTGGGTTCAGTCCCTGGGATCCACATGTTGGATGGGGAGGACTGACTGTCACAGATTGTCCTCTGACCTCCATATGTGTGCAGCAGTACCCTCCCCAAATAAACACACGTTAATAAAAGTTATTTCCATTATGGACTCTTGGAAGGCAGTTACACTCCTCGCTGCACTTTCAGTGCTATACCCTGTCTTGGATGCTCATGCTGGCATTGCTCAGACCTGTCCACATCCCAAAGAGGTATTCCTCAACCCATCCTGTGGCTCTGTGGTGCTGCCAGTCCTGACCCTGGCCATGAAATTGCATTTATGGCCACATGACTGTTTCAGGAGTTGGTGACATTTGAGGATGTAGCTGTCTACTTCATCTGGAAAGAGTGGAAACGTTTGGAACCTGCACAGAGGGACCTCTACAGGGATGTGATGCTGGAGAATTATGGGAATGTGTTCTCACTGGGTAAGGACCTGGGCCTTCTCAACACAACATCTACTTTCTCTAGGCTTCAGGGTTTGCTAGTCTCTGCTTTCATGAAAGCCATCCTCTTTTTCACATGGCGGTGCTGAGGATCAAAGTCCCAGCTTTGTGCATGCTAAGCAGGTGTTTTACCACTGCGCTACAGCAGCAGCCACCACACTACACTACTATTTTGTTTTGTTTTCCTTCAAGACAGGGTTTCTCTGTGTAGTTCTGGCTGTCCTAGAACTCATTCTGTAGACCAGGCTGGTCTCGAACTCACAGAGATCCGCCTGCCTCTGCCTCCTGAGTGCTGGGATTAAAGCCGTGTGCCAACTGGGCAGTGGTGGTGCACACCTTTAATCCCAGCACTCAGGAGGCAGAGGCAGGCGGATCTCTGTGAGTTTGAGGTCAGCCTGGTCTACAGAGCTAGTTCCAGAACAGGCTCCAAAGCTACAGAGAAACCCTGTCTTGGAAAAACAAAAACAAAAGAATGATAACTCACATTTATAGCATAACTTGCTTCTTCTGAGGAGGTTTTGCAGATATCCATGCATTTAACTTCATAGTTGAGGTGATTAGTATTAGCCTCATTTTATAGGCATGAAACATGAGGTCAGGAAGTGCAAAAGCAGAGCTAGAGAGGCAGCTGTGTGGTTAAGAGCACTGGCTGCTCTTCCAGAGAATCTGTGCTCTATTCCCTGCACCCACACAACAGCTCACAACCGTCTGTAGTCCCAGTTCCTAGGAATTTGATGACCTTTTCTAGCCTCCACAGACACGAGGCATGCATGTGATACACATACATACATGTAGGCAAAACACATGTATGGAAAAGGAATAAATAAAAAGACCCTTAGAAGCCAGTTGGGCATGGTAGGCATATATTGGTGGCATATACCCGTAATCTCAGCTCTTGAGAAGTAGAGGCAGGCCGATCAGTTATTACATATTCACTATGGGTTTGAGACCACCCTAGGCTGCATGAGACCCAACCTCAATCAAGCAAACTTAGACACTTTTTGCATGGTGATAGAACTTGTGAATGACAAAGCTTAAGTTCCAGTGTTGTTTCTTGTTTTTTTTTTTTTTTATGTCTTTGTAAATATCCCTGTCTGTCTGTCTGCCTGCCTGCCTGTCTATCTGCCTATCTGTCTGAGACTGGGTTTCACACTGCCTGTGCTGGCCTGGAACCCATTCAGTAGCCCCAGGATGGCCTTAAGCTCTGTAATCCTTGCATATCAGCTACTCTAGTGCTGCTGAGCCCCTGCCCTATTAACACCAAGCCTGGTGATTTAGCCATCTAATTTTAGGACTTAATATGTTAATCCTTCAGAGTCTTTTCTGAAGGATAATATGTTGAGATTCCTGAACATGGAAGGTGGTGCTCTGTGTCTAAGTGAACATTCTAGAGCGGATCTACTGTTTTGTTTAGAAGCTTATGTACCGTGTGCAGAAATGTGTTGTTTTGGTGCTGGAGAGCTGGCTCAGGAGTTAAAAGGACTACAGTTCAGTTCCTAACAGCGACAGCAGGGGGTTCCAAAACTACCACCAGTAACACACACACTTTTTAAAGGAAATGTATTGCTATACACCTTTAGTCCCAGCATTTGGAAGGCAGAAGCTGGTAGAGCTCTGTTAGTTCAAGGCCACCTTGGTCTACATAGTGAGTTCCAGGGCAGACAGCCAGGACTACATATTGAGACCCTGTCTCAGAATAAACAAACAAAATCAATTACTTGTTTTAAGTGGAAATTACCTTCATAATCCTTCGGGTTAGTTACTTGCCTCTTACCTCACTTTCAGTGAGAACATATTTTCCAAGCAGCACCAGGGTATCTTCCTAACTGCCAGTTGAGATGTCCAAATACATTTCCTTCTGTCCCCTGCAGACCTGGGGGCTAGGTTTGTGCTCAGGGAACACTTAGTAGGCCCATGTCTGTGCCTATGAGTGGGTTCTTCTTTCTGAGTCCTGCCACAGTCTCTTGGCTGGAATGGGAACTGAGGGGTCTGAGAAAAGAGGCTTGGGGAGATGGGGGGAGTCTGTTCGAGTGAGTCCTTACCCTGTCTGTCTATTTTCTAAAATACTGACAAACTAAAAATGCTACATGGACCCACTGGAATCATCCTCCATGCCTAGAGTTTCCTGTAGGAACTCGGTAAACAGTGAAAATGAGAATGCAGACATGGAGATTATTTATATACATAGTCTGCAACATAACATCACCTTCTGGTCTACAGCCCAGAGCTGGGCTAAAACGGTTTTGTCTTTTTGGTGGTATATGGGGTTGGACTACAGACAGGTTAGTTCTCACCTGGGGTCTCTTAGTCTGCCCTCTGCTCCTTGTGTCTTTCCTGCCTTTCTCTTCCTCATACACTTGCTCCACCTATCAGGCTTCCCCTTTTTTGGATTGTGTCTCCTATGTAGCCCAAGCTGGTCTCAAACGCATGGTCTTTCTGCTTCAGCCTACTGTGTGCTACAATTAATAAACACGTCACCCCCTTCAGTTTCCTGTCATTCTTAGACTCATTACTTCAACCATCCTCCTCCTCCTTTTCTTCTCGCCATCTTCCCAGACACATCCACAGCCTCTGACCGTCTGAAGACTTTGGCGCTTCATTAAGTAACAAGTCTTTCTTGCCTAGGTTTGTTTTATTTTATTCTTTTATGTGTATGAATGTTTTACTTACATGTATGTGTGTACCACATGTGATCCTGGTGCCTCTAAAGGTTGGAGGAGAGCACTGAATCTCCTGGGACTACAGTTACAGACAGCTGTAAGCCTCCATTTGGGAGTGGAACTCAAACCTGTGCCCTCTGCAAGGGCAACAAGTACTCTTAACCTCTGAGCCAACTCTTCAGCCTCCCTTACCTAGTTTTTATTCCCAACAAAGTAGCCTATCTCCTCCCATCCCCAGCACATCCTTGACTTCCTCTGGGTTCATGTCTTTTCTCCCTGATATTCTTTCTCCCTTGTTCCGTCTCTGGTTATTTAGCCCATTTGCCCTACTTTGCTTTAGTTATACATACAGGCTGGAAGGCCTTTTAGGCCAGCAAAGGGACATGTGCTTTTAGCACTATAAATGTCCGACATGATTATCTTGTTCTCTGACTTTTATTCTTTTTCTCACAAATAACATGACACTTGAATTTTTTTTTATTGTGCTAGATTGTGAATCTAAAACTGGAAATGACCAAGTAATCTCTGAAGGCATGGGGTCACATGAGATGATGTTGGGACAGTTCCAAACGGATATTTCTCAGGGTCTTAAGTTTGGAGAAGCCTATGAACAAGAAGTCAGTCTGAAGAGACAGCTAGGGAACACTTCTGTTGGAAGACTGAATAAGAGAATACAGGAGGTCCACCAAGCGACAGTTGAGGAAAAGCTTACCCATATGGGACAAAGAAATGACAAGTATAATGAGTTCGGGAACAGCTTCACTGTGAATTCCACCCTCATTTCACACCAGAGGTTTCCCATGGGACACAGACCCCATAAGTGTGATGAATGTAACAAGAGTTTTAATCGAACTTCAGACCTTATTCAACATCAGAGAATTCACACTGGGGAAAAGCCCTATGAATGTAGTGAATGTGGAAAGGCCTTCAGCCAGAGCGCACATCTTATTCAGCACCAGAGAATCCACACTGGAGAGAAACCTTATGAATGTAAAGATTGTGGGAAGACCTTCAGTTGTAGCTCTGCTCTCATTCTGCATCAGAGGATCCACACTGGGGAGAAACCTTATGAATGTCATGAATGTGGAAAAACATTCAGTTGGAGCTCCACTCTTACTCACCACCAGAGAATCCATACTGGGGAGAAGCCCTATGCTTGCAACGAATGTGGGAAGGCTTTCAGCCGGAGTTCCACCCTTATCCATCATCAGAGAATCCATACTGGAGAAAAACCCTATGAATGTAATGAGTGTGGGAAGGCCTTCAGCCAGAGCTCACACCTCTATCAGCACCAGAGAATCCACACTGGAGAGAAGCCCTATGAATGTATGGAATGTGGGGGGAAGTTTACCTACAGTTCAGGCCTTATTCAGCATCAAAGAATCCACACGGGGGAGAATCCCTATGAATGTAGCGAGTGTGGGAAAGCCTTCAGGTATAGCTCAGCTCTTGTTCGCCATCAGAGGATTCACACTGGAGAGAAGCCTTTGAGTGTCATGGGTGTGAGCAGAAATTCCCTCAGGGTTTCTGCTGAATTAAACGTCAGAGACTCCACATGAGAGAGCCATATCCCATTTCCCTCACTTCCTGAGTCTAAGGAGCTCTTGCCTTAATTTATAAATAGCACCAATTTAGGATGTTTCCCTCCTCAAACCTTTCACTCGGCGTGGGGCAGATGGGGAAAGAATCCTGGCACAGTGATGAGCAGGATTTCCCAGGAGTGGATACCAGTCTTGAAAAATCGTGAGGCAAGTAGATTAAGCACTGGGAAAGGGAGGAAGCTTGGGGACCAGCCATCCCCTTTTAAGGAAGGGCTTGCACTGAACCAGTTTTCTCACACCAGAAGAGCCTTTCTTTCTGAGTTGGGGTGGACATTTATTAGTAACAGAATTCCAAGGATTCCACTAGTTGGGGTCAATGTGGTGAGCACAGAAGACAGAGGGAAGGATATTCTGGGTCATCTAGAAAGGGAAACAAGCTGTATCCCCCCCCCCCTTCTTTTTTTGAGATAGGTCTAGCCCTAGCTTTTCTTGAACTTACTGTGTAGACCAGGCTGGCCTTGTACTCGGCGAGACCTGCCTGCCTTTGCCTCTGAAGTGCTGGGATTACAGGCGTATATACAACCATGCCAGGCCCCCAGGAGCTGCATTTCCAACCCACTCTTACTAATCTAGTTTTGAGATTGGACAAGGAATATGCTGCTTTGGTATATGACTTCACGAATTCAGGAAACTTGATGTTAATGGGATCATTTTATTGGGGGTAGGTTGGAGGAAGGACCCCAGCAAGGGTCTGTAGTGACTACCCTTGGAATTCTTGAAGCAGTGATAACATGTTTTCATGAGCAGTCTGGGGGCTAGAGAAACAGCTCAGAGGTTAAAAGCACTCACTGAGCTTGCAGAGGTCCTGAGTTCAGTTCTCAACAACCACATGGTGGCTCACAACCATCTGTAATGAGATGTGATGCCCTCTTCTGGCCTGCAGGCATGCACGCAGACAGAACACTATACACAACACTGTAGGCAGACCCCACATCCTCCCTTGTAATAGGACTGACTGGAAGGAATCTCACTGGAGCAGTAACTAACCTGTGGTAGATCAGAAGCATTTAATACTGGCCTGACTCCTGCCCCCTTTCTTCCTATTCCTGTGGTGAAAGGTAATCTGATGTCAACCTCTAGTTATTAAGGATGCTGTAGGGAGCTCATCTACCTAGCTTGTCCTGCCCTCTCACCTCTTAACATCTGGCCTCAGCAGCTGCACCTCTCCAGATTCCATCTGACTTCAGCTACTTGAGAGTACACAAACAGTAAATTCAGAGGGGCACTGAGGCCCAAGCTTGGTAGCAGGGCACCTTGCTGGGTTCGGGCGGTGCTCTAACCAACAGATGGCTTCCCATATTTCTCCAACCCTGCTCAACCTGTAGCTTAAAAGAAATGCACCATTAAACAGAATAGTCTTCTAGAAGAGGAGATGGAGTGTATGTTTGTATAGGAATCAAAGTTATGTCAGTTAAAATAGCACAGAAACCATAAATGGAACCCAAAGTAAACTTTGATAACCACCTTTGGTTATAAACTTGAGATTTTTCTTGTCTGACACAACTCTCAAACTCCTGTAGACACTCTTGTAGACTATATAAACGTCTGCAGCTACTCCCACCTTCACAACAAATCAGAATTTCATGAGCTGTAGTCATTTTGTGTGATACAATGTCTAAGACTGACGACGAAAACTACAAGTGCACTTGGCTCTTTTGGAGCAAGGAACTTATTTCTCTGTCTTGGTTTGGTATTTGTAGAAAGATAAGGCTGTGGAGAATGGCAGGCTGGGAATGGGGTGAAGAGGTTAGCATTAAGATGGCTGTGAACTCCTAGCACTTGGAGGCAGAGGCAGGTGGATCTCTGTGAGTTCAACAAAAGCTAGTTCTAGGACAGCTAAGGCTACACAGAGAGAAACCCTGTCTGAAAAAAAAAAAAAAACCACGAACTCACTTTTTTTGTTGGTAGAATATTGTATCAGGTCATCTAATATGTGTCTTTAATTTCACAAGTTTTTGAAACTGATCATCTTTGGCTCCTTTGACATTTCCAGGCCTTGTGGTTCAGGTCTCTAATGTGAACTACTTGGGGGGCTGATAGAAGAGGATCCCAAGTTCGAGGCCTTCCTGCACTATAAAATGAGTTTAAGGCCAGCTTGGACAAGTTAGTAAGGAGAACATTCCATTGTTTGTCTAACTACTGGAAATTAAGCTGAGCCGAGTTCCTCCTTGCCAGTTATACAATCAGCTTCTAGTTCTGCCTTTTCAAGCAGCACGTAATTCTTTATCAAACAAAACTTTGAAGAACTTTTTTTCGTTTGCTATTTTTGAGACAGAGTTTGTCTGTGTAATTCTGACTGTCCTGGAACTTGCTCTATAAACCTGGCTGGCCTCGAACTCACTGAGATCTGCCTGCCTCTGCCTTCTGATTGCTGGGATTAAAGGTGTGCGTCACTATGTCTGTCATGGTGAACATTTTCATTCATAGCAAAAGAAGTTTGTTTTGATCACCACCTTTTCTGGGGATCAAATCCAGTGTCCCTTTCATGCTGGGCAAGAACTAAGTACCTCAACCCAGCATTTTTTTTTTACATTTATTTTTGGTGTGCATGCATGCATACATGTGCCATGGCATGCATATGGAGGTCAGAAGTCAACTTGGAGGAGTTGGTTCTTCTGCATCCTGGGTCCCAGGGATGAAGCCGAGGTCACCAGGCCTGACAAGGGCACGTGCCTCTACCTGTGGAGCCATCTCTCTGATGCAGGCATTTTTATTTTACTTCTATGGTTTTTGAGCCAGGACTGACCTTGAACTGATCTTCCTGGTCTACCTCCCAAGTGCTGGGATCACAAGCATATGCTATCACACCTGCTTAGGATCTGGTTTTGAATCCTTCCATCTCCAGTGGCATCTCTGAGATCCCATTCAGATGATACTGGGAAAGTATGTTACGTAATAAAGTTTCTAACAGCACAGAGCCCAGGTTCACGCACACTTTTCAGTAACAGGATGAACCTGAAGTGATGATAAGCTTCTTATTGAATTGTTTCTCTTTTAGCAAACAATACAAAATGAAAAGAAGAGGAAAAAGTTATTTGCTTTGGTTTGTGCTTTAGGTGGTATCTTGTTATGGAGCCCAGCCTATCCTTAAACTGAATTTTGTTGCAACCGTTTTAAATTGTGGAATTAATTTGTCATATCCAGTTAAAACGAGTTTTAAAAAGCTCTCCACAGACTTTTTATTGTAAATTGCTTAGACAGTTGAGTCTTTTATTTTTTTCACTTAAAAAAAGTTCAAGGGCTAGAGACATAGTTGGTAGAATATTTTTGCTTCACGTGATAAAGTCCTGGGCTTGAGCTCTAGCAGTGTATGAACTGGGCATGGCTTATTCCCAACGCTGAGGAAGGTCAGGAGTTAAAGGGTATGCAAAGTTATATACGGTTGAGGTTAACCAGAGACCTACATGAAACCCTGCCCCCACCAAAATGATGCACCCAGCTAGGTGCATTATTTAAAATGTCAGTAATGAATCAAAAATTGTATAGACTTATTTTCACACAAAGATAATTGTGGTTACCAGAAGTTTGTTTTAGAATAGCGATTCTTTTGCTTTTTTTTTTTTTTTTTTTTTTTTGAGACAGGGTTTCTCTGTGTAGCCCTGGCTGCCCTTGAACTCAGATCCGCCTGTCTCTGCCTCCCCAGTGCTGGGATTAAAGACGTGTGGCACCACCACCACCAGCTATTTTCTTTTTCTTCAGATTTTACTTTTACACCTAAGTATAAGCCCAAAGAAGCTGTATAAGGGCACTGGATTCCACGGAGGTGGAGTTACAGGCAGTTGTGAACTGTCTGACATGGGTTCACAACTGCCAAACTTAGGTCCTGTAAAGGTAAAGGAGCAGTGTCCTTTTTATTTTGAGACAGGATTTCTCTGTAGCTTTGGGGCCTGACCTGTATGTAACTCACTCTGTAGACCAGGGTGGTCTGAAACTCACAGGTATCTGCCTGCCTCTGCCTCCTGAGTGCTGGGAGTGCGCCCCCACCGCCCAGCTAGAACAGTGTCTTAATTACCGTTCTGTTACCAGGAAGAAACACCATGGCAGGTATCCCAAGTGCTGGGATTAAAGGCACGTGCCACCACCACCTGGTATGTTGCCTTGGGAAAAGCATTTAACTGGGGGCTTGCTTACAGTTTTAGAGGTTAGGCCCTGACCATGATGGCAGGGAACAGGCCAAGCACACTGAGCAGTAGATGTGGATCCTGATCCACACAGGCAGTAAGCAGAGAGAGAGAGAGAGAGAGAGTCTCAAAGCCCACCCTCAGTGATACCCCTCCTCCAACAAGGCTACTAAGGATGCAAATACATGAGCCTATGGGTGCCATTCTTGTTCAAACCATCACAAGCAGTATCCACCCCTGAATGATGAGCCATCTCTCCAACCTCAGAATAATAACTCTTAGGACCAACTGCCTGTTGAGGCGGGTTACAAACATGGGAATTATCCCTTTCATCCCTACAGCTTCTCAGTCAACATCTGATCATCCCTTCTTCCATTTTCTCAGATGGGTCTTTATTACCTCATTCCAGGACTCTGGTACCAGCCTCACAGTGGGTCTCTGCATTCTTTCTCTTCACTCTTCATCCTCTACCCACACATCCGTTACTGTCCTGGTGCCCTGGCCAAAGAGCTAACATAGATAAAATGGAAGATTACTCTTGGCTCAGTTTCACAGACATAGTTCACAATTCTGGGGCCTTTTTTCCTTTTTTGCAGGTTATTCTTTTATTGTATAAATTAAGTATTACATGATGAATTGACATTCCCTCTCCAGACATGGGAATTTAACAGATGAGGTCAGACATTTTAGAATCTGTTTATCTTGCTTTCAGAGCTGTGGGTTTTTAGATTTAAACTTTTTAAGACCATCAAAGCTGTTCCTCTATCTGTGGCCAGTACACAATCCATTCTACCTGTGACACTCTAAGAACTGAAATACAGGGGCTGGAGAGATGGCTCAGTGATTAAGAGCCCTTGCTGCTCTCCCACAGGACTTGAGTTTGGCTCCCAGCACTCAATGTGGGGCAGCCCACAATCACTTGTAACTCTAGCTACAGGGGATCTCCTGGCCTCTACTGGCCTCTGCTGGTACCTGCACAAATACATTTACAAAGTTGAAATACTGGGGCTGGAGAGATGGCTCTTCCAAAGGTCCTGAGTTCAGTTCCCGGCAACCACATGTAATAAGGGCTACACAGAGAAACCCTGTCTTGAAAAGCAAAAACAAAACAAAAACAATGGACGGAGGAGGCACACTATCAGGAACACTTGCAGTAAGTACGGAGGCACCTCGTGGGAAATCCTTAACTTGGTGGGGATGGAAGCTGGTGTGTTCCACAGAAAATGTACAGTAGGGATGGTGGGGCTCAGGTGGTGTCGGCGGCCATGTTGGAGGAGCTGCAGTCGGCAGTGGAGTTTATGGACTACAACTCAGCAGGCAGCAAAGGTATGATGGGTGCACCCTGGAAAGGCAAAACCAGCGGGGTGGGGGCGGGGTTTCCAGAATGCTCCTTGCTGTTGTCATGTTCTTGCTACACTTGGTATGGTGTGATTATTATGTAACAGGATCCCGCTGCATCTGGTATAGTGTTATTCCTGTTATTGCTTGATGGGAAAATCCCACTCCTCACTAGGCAATCTGCTTGCAGATCATAACGAAGATGAGTTTTAGAGCAATGCTGAGCTGGGCAGTGGTGGCGTACACCTTTAATCCCAGCACTTGGGAAGCAGAGGCAGATGGATCTCTGTGATCCTGGTCTACAAAGTGAGTTCCAGGACAGCCAGGGCTACAAAGAGAGACCCTTGTGTAAAATAAATAAATAATAGCAATAATGCTTTTCAAGACAGGGTTTCTCTGTGTAGCCCTGGTTATCCTAGAACTAGCTTTGTTGGCTTTGAATTTAGGGAGATCCATCTACCTGTCTTCTGAGTGCTGGGATTAAAGGCGTTCACCACCACTGCCCGGCCCATCCTTGCTCTTAATACACCTGATTCCCTCACTGTGATGGGGTAATTTTTCCCTTATACCATCCTACCACAACTATGTATTGCTTCATAGTTGGGGAGAATGATAGTTGTGTGTCCTGAGAGTGACAACCGTTTTTTTTTTTTTTTTTTTTTTTTTTGCTTGATTTATAAAGAAAAGAAGTTTATTTTGCTCACAGCTCTGGAGGCTAAGAGCCCCGACTGCGAAGCCTCACTGACCTGACATCTGGTGAGGATCCAATAGCACAAGGGTTGAAGCGTGTGTGCAAGTGAGACGCCACATCACAAAAGAGTGTGATTCAGGAGTCAAGCTTTCTAGTTTAACTCTTTCCTCTTGCAATTGCTCAGGAGCCCGATAAAAGTCAGTTTAATCTCCTCCTATGGCAGCTTCTATGTGACTTAGGGACCCTCTACTAAATCCCAGCTCTTAAGCTGCCTAGCATCTTCCCTACCCCTCACCACTCCAGAGATGGAGGATCCCTTAGAGTACCCACTACACAGCAGTAGTCAGTAAGCTGGGGAAAGATGACTGTTAGCCAGGTATCTGATACAGGGCTAACCTCTCAGAAGAACAAAACTACCTGTAAATCAGGAGTCTAACATGAGATGACAGAAACAGTTTGTTGGCATGATTCTCTCCTTCATCACGTGGGTCTTGAGGATCCTAACCAGGTTGTCAGACTTGACAGTAGACACCTTCACTGGTTGAGCCACCACACCTGCTACAGCTTATCAATTCTTTCACAGGTCTGAGGCAGGATAGCTAGTTAGGAAGTAGAGGGGACATAAGAAGGGAAAGAACCCTTCCCTTACTCTTCTGATCTCTGTCTCACTGGCTGATGCCTGGGAGTTTCTGAGATAACCGTCCAGACTACCTGCTAAAGGACGTCTTCCCTTCCCTGAGAAACAGCACAGCTGAGATTGTTAAAAACAAAACAACAACAACAAAAAGCTGGGCAAGGCTAAGACCGAAGGATTGCTGGGGCTTGCTGGCTGCCAGCCTACAAAGCTCAGTGAGAGATCCTATCTCAAGGGTGAATGAAAATGAGGGCCTGACCGTTCCCAGGTATGACTGAGAAGGATTTTAGTGTAGGTAAGAGAGAGAGTACAGCCAAGGAATCTCAAAGAGCCCAGAGCAGGGAGAGAAAGCAGCAGACTAGACATGCCCAGAAGAGTGAACATAAGCCATGAGAGGAGGCGGGGAGAAGAGAAGATGGGCAGGAGAAGGGACCAGGAGCCAAGAGCAGAGGACCAAGAACCTAGAGAGAGAGGAATAAGACAGTGTGCAGTTGAAGTGGTGGGGTTATATAGGAAAGAGCAGCTCAGAGACTGGAGAGGTTCAGGACGGGGGTGGGGTGAGAACGCCTCAGACTGAGTCTGAGGCTAGCATATTCTTTGTATGCTAACCGGCACCAGGGTTAGCCATTTATCCTGGGTTTCTTTGGAACCTGACCTTGTCCTACCCTATGGCCTCTACACATCTACGCACACACAGAAATATTACATTGTCCTAACCATGTCTAGGATGGTTCTTTAACACGTGGCCATGAATGACATGCTACTAACCAGCAGAGTCCTGAGGGCAGGGTCAGCAGACTCAACGCACGTTAAACTGAATTTAATACATGGAATCTGACAACCTAATGCTGGACCATCTTTATTGGTGAACTCACTCACCAATAAAACATGGCATATGCTAGTGACGGGCCGTAGGTATTACTGGCTCAGTGGAGGTTGTCATAGAGGCAAGGATTCAGTAGTCAGAGGTAAAATACACATAATGATGGATATCATGTCTGCTGCCTGAAGCCCCATTCCCCCGTGGGCCTCGGTTATCAGGAAATACAAACAGGGCAGGTTATCATTCAACGTACTGAGTTTAAGGTTCTGGGAGGACAACTCTCCTAAGCTACTGTAACAGCAAGAAAATGCCAGTTTTCATTTTCATGCCCCACCCCTCCTATTGGCTGCCACATGGAGATTCAGTGTGTGAGGCCTAATCTGAACCATACCTCCTTTTATTCAGAGATGGAAGCAGGGAGCTTCCCTTCAGTAGAGCCTTATCAGGAAAGAGGGTGAGGGTGGGGTGGGACTGGATGGAGAGCATTCAGTCCCCGGGACAAGGGGAATATTCCTTCTTTGTAGAGACCTCTGGGAGGAGGAGGACTAAGTTGCGCAGCCTGGTGGCATGACCCAGCCTACATACCAGGGGTCACAGAGTGAGAGGGCATCAGAGAAAAGGGTGGGCTGAGGACATGGCTCGGTGGTCAAGACCATGTGCTACTCTTGGCGGACGACCCAAGTTTGGTTCCCAGCATCCACATCATCCCGTTAACTCCAACTCCAGGGGATCCCACATCTCTGGCTTCTGCAGGCATCTGCTCTCATGTGCACAAACCCCCACAGACACATAACATATACAGAAATACAATATTCAGAACAGAGTACAGTTGGGCAGGGCATGAAAATACATACCTTTAATCCCAGAACTCATGACACAGAGGCAGGCAGATCTCTGTGAGTTCGAAGCTAGCCTAGTCTACATAATGAGTTCCAGGCCAGTCTGGGTTGCATAGTGAGACCCTGTCTCAAGTAACAACAAAATCAACAACAAAGTTAAATCAGTATTGTTGGGGCTGGAGAGATGGCTCAGTGGTTAAGAGCACATACTGTTCTTACAGAAGATCTGATGTTTTCAGCACCCATGTTGCGGGGCTCACAGCTATCTTCCAATACCCGTGGCCTGCATACATACCTGTGCATGGGTACTAGGGCCTGGGAATATGGGTGTGGAGAGGGAGGTTGCAGCTGCAAGGGAGAGGGCCATTGCCAAGGCCACAGCAAGCTTATCAAACCTCTTGTCCACAGAAAGCTGAAGGGCATTGTGGCTTGATTGCTGTGATATAGGTAGATGGTCTGGAACAATCCCCAGTTCTGACACTCAATAGGAAACTTTCTTGCTCCCCAGCTCTTAGCATATCAAGCTCAGCCTTAAGGTACAGATATTCCAGGGACTCCTTTTCAGGAGGTGAAAGAACTGCCATAGTATTAAGAGGAGCAAGTGACGGAAGGAGAGCTGTTGGGTTTCTAGCCAATGTCGGACAGAAGGAATAGGAGATGTTTTACCAGTGCAGACTCCATTCAGATCTTCCCAGGGAGGATATACGGTAATCCTTTCGGGTTTCAACTTCTGGAGTTTTCAGAAGGAAGCTGCTTACGGAGAGCTGATCTTCATAGGCACTGGCATAGACAGGGCTAATATAAAACTCAGGCTGACAAGATGATCCCAGTAATAAAAGTATGTGTTCACACCAGATGGTGGTGGGGCACATCTTTAATACCAGCACTTGGGAGGCAGAGGCAGGTGGATCTCTGTGAGTTCAAGGCCAGCCTGGTCTACAGAGTGAATTCTAGGACAGCCAGGGCTACACAGAGAAATTCTGTCTCAAAAAACCATGGCCACACATAGAAAGCTTATTAAACAACAACAACAAAAGTGTGTGCTCACTATGTCAGGACAGCATAGTGCAACAATACAGACCACTATGCAGCTACTACACATATGCCCATGACTTCCTCACACACGTCCACAAGCTCCAGACTGGAGGTAGCCACCCTTTCCTTCCTCTGCCCTCCTCTCCCTCTCCTTTCTTTAGAACCCATGGTCCTCTCTTAAGTGTTGGGAATATGAGAGTATATATACCCTATGCCTGGCCAACACTTTACCCAAGTGTTCAATGACCGTGGCTGGTGACAGGCTCAGTAGGTGAGGACTTTGCCCCCAGGGCTGACAACCTGAGCTTGGTCCCTGGGACCCATGCACTGGATGGAAGGAAAAAGTAATTCATTCAGGTTGGCCTCTGGTCTCCACATATGTGGGCTAGGGCACGCACACACTCACATACCCATCCACCCACCCCCCAAAAGAGTTCCACAACCACACAATAATAGTCCTAAGGCAGTACATGATGCTGTACATTTATTCTGAAACAGACTGTTCAAGGTGGCTCAATTCTTTACAAACTACAACTGTGGGATATATGTTAAAACAGTTAAACAATTTTAGTGTTTCTTCCTTAACTCTACTGGACACACATCAGTTTAACTATGCAGAAGACAATGGCAGCACAGTTTCACTAGGGCCTGGAGCGTGAGGAGGGACCCCGCTGGCCGAGGTGAGCACTGTGGGGCTCACTCCACTCTGCAGACCTCCCGCCTGCCCTGTCACTGTGGAGTTCTCCCTCCATGGCACCCCTTGAGGACTAGAGCAAAATCTACCACCCAACACTGTATCACAGGCTGCTTCCTAGCGCTCACATTCTAATGCTCACAAGAACAACGACAATGACAGAGAGGCGGACAGTTACGGCACGTCTCCCTCTCCAGTGTGCACTCGCTGGTGTTTGGAAAGATTGGACTTGCTACAGAAGGTTTTCCCACAGTGGTTACACCAGTAGGGCTTTTCACCAGTATGGATTCTGTGGTGCTTATTAAAATTTGAACTGTGGTTGAAGGCTTTGCCACACTCCTTACACTTATAGGGCTTTTCCCCTGTGTGCAGGCGCTGATGGGAACTGAGACCTGCGTGCTGACTAAAGCTCTTTCCACACTCGTTACACTGATAGGGCTTCTCCCCGGTGTGGATGCGGTAGTGTCGAATGAGGCTGCCCTTCCCACTGAAGGCTTTCCCACAGTCTTTACACTGATAGGGCGCCTCTTCCGTATGCATCATTTGATGTTTAAGGAGGTCGGAGCTCTGCCCAAAGGCTTTCCCACACTTACAGTCATAGGGCCGGTCCACCAAGTGTGTTCTGTAATGGAGGGTAAGGTTGGAGCTGTGGCTGAAGGCCTTCCCACACTTGGTGCACACATAAGGCTTCTCCCCAGTGTGTGTTCTGCGGTGTTTAGTGAGGTTTGAGCTATTGCTAAAGGCCTTCCCACACTCTGCACATATGTATCGTTTCTCTCCCGGGGCAAGCTTAGCAGACATGGGCTCTGCCCCTTTCCTGGAACCTGTATCCTGCAGAAAAGCTTTTGCTCCCCTCTCCCATTGCCTTTCTGACCTTGACCCATACTTATTGGTAGCAATCGCGGGAATGATGTCCCCTTTGAGTCCGTCTGCATGAGCCTCCTCTTCAGAACTTCTCTGCTCATCTGCTGAGTCCTCCTTCTGGGGATTCGATTTCAAACCTGAAAGCAGGTGGGTTAGGGATGCATCAGTTGCTCCTGTTCTGAGGATGCAGCTGCTACAGGAGAAGTAGGAGCCCCAAGGGAGGCAGATAGGTTTGAAGGATGGTGCCATGTGTGAGATACAAATAGAGTGATTGTCACATCGAGTTCAAGTGTGCCCACAGAAGCCCACTCCCGAATATCTATTACGTGATGATTTTATAATTCTTATCATCCAGACAACCTGTGCTCCCACTCCCTCCCCCGTAGGCTCTGAAGCAGTCTAGAACACACCGGAATATTCGTCTGTGACTTCACGTTTGCTTCTGCAACATACTCACAGCCAAGGTTTGTGAATGATCTCTGCCTTGGGAGGTTTCTGGGCCATGCAGGTAAAAGAAAGGTGGTCAAGTTCTACCGGGGTAAACACCGGATTTCAGTACTGCGGGTAAAGCTGAATTCCACTCAGAGCTGAGGCACTGTGTCCTGTACTACTGGCGCAGTCTTCCGCTCCAGCACACCTTCTCGGGTACATAAGTTTCTTTGAGAATAGTGCCAACCCCTCTCTCTTAAGAGCACCTAAAAACCTTTTCCCCAACTGGGCATTAAAACCTGGAGAGTTGGATCAGAGGTTAAGAGTACTGCCTGTTCTTCCAGAGGACCTGAGTTCAGTTCCCAGCAACCACATGGTTGCTTACAACCATCTGTAATGAGATCTGGTGCCCTCTTCTAGTGTGCAAGCATGCATGCAGATGGAACACTCTATACATAATATATAAAAAAAAACCTTAAACAAAACAAAACAAAACACACCTGACCTGGGCCAGGTGTGGTGGCTCACACCTTTAATTCTAGCACTTGGGAACAAGAGGCAGGCAGATCTGTCTTCTGAGGCAGCCTAGTCTACATGGTGAGTTCTGGGCCAACTAGGATTACATAGAGAGACCAAAACAAATGACAAAAAAAAAAAAAATAAATAAATAAACAAACAAAATTACAATCAAGCCAAAACCAAACAACTAGTCCATCAACCAAACAGAAATAACGCACAAACACAAACAACAGAAATAGCCCACCTCCAGTTCCGGCAACACTTCTTGCCGTACTTTGTGTGACCAGCAACTACGCAAAGGGGAATGTCTGTAGGACTCAACCTATCCTATTTTAATTGTTTTCTTCTGGCTGTCATATGATTTTACTCTTCAGCTTCTACAGTTGAACAGAATTCTGTTGTGTACATGGACCTTTTCTTTATCAGTGACAGGAGGATAGTTCTGTATTGAGTGTCATGAACAGAGCGACAGAAAAATTAGCCCAAGTCAGCACATCACAGGATATGCTGATTAGAATCCTCTGGATATGAAGCTGGGTGTGGTGGTGCACATCTCAGATCCTAGCACAAATAGGAAGTAGAAGCAGGACCAGAGTTCAAGGTCACCCTCCATTTATATACCACTTTTGAGGATAGTATTCCCCCAATTCCTAAGACAGGGTTTTTTTGGCTGTCCTAGAACTCACTCTGTAGACCAGGCTGGCCTCAAACTCACAGAGATCCTCCTGCCTCTGCTTCCTGAGTGCTGGGAGGAAAGGTGTGCGCCGTCACTGGCAGTGTCCTTTTTTAACCAAAACTAAATAAATAAAAATTGTGTTTCTATGGGCCTTTTGCTTAAACACATGTAAGTATACTGTGCGCATGCCTGGTACTCACAGAGTCCAGAAAAGAGCGCCAGGTTCCCAGAACGCTGCCATGTGGGTGCTGGGAACTGAACTCCATGTGGGTGGTCCTCTGCAACAGCATCAAGTGCTCTTAGCTGTCTAACCATCTCTCCACTCCCAATTATCCTACTGTAAAAGGTTTATTTTTATTTATGTGTATGTAACTGTGTGTCTGCCACATGTATGTAGGTGCCTGTAGAGGCCAAAAGAGGCCACTAGGTCTCTCGAAGTAGGAGTTACATACAGGCAGTTGTGAGCAGCCTTATGTGGTGCTGAACTTAACGTCTGTCCCAGGACCAGCAGCAAGCGCTGTTCTGTACTAAGCCATCTCTCCAGCACCTAATTTCTATTTACAAATGTGACAATGTACACAGGGCACAAAATCTATTGACAGTGGTCCAAGATATGGTCAGCCAGGAGCTCATGCCTATCAACTATCTGTATCTGCACCCAACTGTGTGGTGCTGCCAAGAGCAGTTTGGGTTGGGAGGTTGGCTATCCCAGGATGAATCAAGTTTCAAAGGGCCAGAGTCTCAGAATCCAAAGCAAGGAGGAGGGGGCAGGAGTGAGTGGCACACAACAGAAAGGGAAGGAAAGCAGCAGACAGAGGTAGGAGGCTTGTATTCTGAAACTGGGGATTGTGGGGGAATACTTTAAATTGCAAGAGGGAGGGTCTTCCTTTCTTGGTGAGACGACAGGATCTCACTCTGTAGACTCTCCTGGAGCATACTAGGTATGCAACAGGTCCCCAGGTCTTAGCACAACCTACGCCATGATCAAAGTACCATTCAGGCCTTGGAACCCAACACACAGACAGACAGCAAGACTTGCAGAAACAAGAATAAAGACCTAATCCATTAAAGTCCATAGTTCTGAGAAAGTTCCTAAATATACTAACTTTGTTTTCTGGCTTCTGGCTAACATTCTTGCTAAATGAGGTGTGTCAACCCAGAATGTGGTTTTTATGCTTAAAAGCACACCCACAGAAAGACTAGGGGCTGTAATTGTCCTGAATACGCAGGTGTTGCAGAAGATTTGTGTAACTATGCAAAGATGTGTTGCACTTGCGTAGTTTTGAGTATTTGTTAAACAAATGCAGCACATCTTTACGCAGTTAAACTCTCCTATCACATAGGTTCCAGGCTGTAACTCAGGTCAATGTCTTGATGAGCAAGCATCTTAACTGCTGAGTTATCCTGTCAGTCTCTGTGATGTATATTTATTTTTATTTATGTGTCTGCTCGTCTGTATGTGCATCACATACGTGCAGGTGCCCTTGGAGACTAGACAGGGGTGTTGGAACTTTAGGAACTAGAGTCATAGGCCATTGGAAGCCACTTGATGTGGGTGCCAGGAAGTGAGCCAGGTCTTCTGCAGGAGCAGCCACTGCTCTTAACTGCTGAGCCACCTCTCCAGCACTAAGAATATACTTCTTTCTTTCCTTCCTTCCCTTTTTTTTTTTTTTTTTTTTGATAGGATCTCTCTACACAGTCCTGGCTGTCCTGGAACTCATGTTGACCAGGCTGGCCTTGAACTTAGAAATCCCACCTGCGGACTGGGACTAAAAGTGTGCGCCATTACACCTGGTACAGAATAGTTTTCAACAGGGCTCAAGATTTTGTTTTCAAGAGGGGATTTCAAGTGTCTAGGATATGGTAAGTAATTCAGGCATTTTCTCAGGGCCATGACTCGGCTTATGAACATACCATAGCCATGAAAAATGATAAATACAAGATTTGAAACAATGTGGTATATTTTTCATCAACATCAATCTGATTAATCTTTGAAAACCACCAGTAGAAAAATAAAGCTGTAACATACACCATGATTTGTGGAGATCTGAGCCAGGGAATAGTTAGTTATCCTAATATATTTCCTTTTTAAATTTTTTATTTATTCATTTTTTTTAAAAAGACAAGGTCTCATAAAACCCAGATTGGTTTTGAACTCATCATGTAGCCAAGGATGACCTTGAATTTGAGTGCAGGGATGGAACCCAGGGCCTCCTGCATGCTAGGTAAACACTCTATCAACCCCTAAATTATCTTTGACTTGTGAAGTCTGCAGAGATTCAGAACGGAGGTTCTGCGGCCTTTTCCAGACCCAGTCTTTCCTGATCTGCATCCTAGGAAACTGACCCTTAGGCCTAAAGACTTCTCATGTCGGCGGCAATTGAGTCTGCTATTGGTACACCAGAAGATGTGAAGGCAGGACCAGTGTGAAATGAGGTATCTATTCATTTTCTCTTGACCCAATGGCAGGACCTGGAGTCATGGCTCCCAGCATTTAACTCCTTCCTTCCCTATCAAGGCTCAGCTCTTGTCTGGGTCTATAAGAAGAGATCTTCCTTCTTGGCCCTCCAGGCTCACAGGCAGCAATACCTTTCCCCTGTGGTCTAGTTTGGCACTCTACTGGCTCACTCAGCCTGTCCATATCTCCCAGTCAGTCTCGCTCCTTTGGAAACAGCCCTGCCCAACTCTCTGCAAGGATGCTGCCTACCTTAGTGCCGGGAACCTGGCCAAGGCAATTGGGTTTGGGACTCGCCTAGTCAGGTCAATCGAGAGGTTACCCCTCCCCTGGAGTTAAAGATTTCTCTGGACACTGAGAAGGGTCCTTACCTTGACGCTTTCTTGGATCCTGAGTAAAAACCTCCTCCTCACCAGTCTCTTGGATGTACAGGGGCCCCCAAAACTCATATTTGGGGCTGGCATCCCCGGACTGAGACTGGGTACTGCTTAAGGACTCCACTGCAGTTCCTGACGTTGACATCTTCTCCCAAGCCTGCTTCTGTTCCCGCTGAGGAGATGAGACCTAGAGACAGTAAGACATGGTGTCTGCGCAGACGACTCAAGACGAGCAAAATCCCAAGCGAGCTATGCAGGACTTTAAGAGAAGGAAAGGAAAGACAGCCACCCCACTGAGCTCCCAAAGGTACTTCAGGGTAAGAGCAGACAACAGGAGCAAACATGACCTAGCTCCCCAGAAGCTTCTAGCTGATTAATAAGTATACTGCATGGTGTTGTCTAACAGTTTCTGCATCCTGCAGGAAGGTAAACAACACAAACTAGCTTCAGGAAGTCCCTGAAACTGACCAGATTCACGAGGCCCCTCCCTGTCAGAGTCCCCCTGCGACTAGCAGAAAAGACATGTAAAGAAGACCCGGCAAAGCCAAGCTGCAAAGAAGACTCTCAGACCAGCTGAGCTGCCTGGAAAGAACATTCTCCAACCTGCTGAGCTGCCTGCAGGCTGTGCAGGGTGCTCCAGGTTCCCAGCTTTGTGAGCTGTCACGCATGCTGGGCTCTGGTGATGCAGCTCTCTCTGAGTCATTTCTGCTCCTGTAAGTAATCCCTCATCCAAACTTTGGTAAGCAACCCCAATAAAACTCCACCACGCTGGACTTTGGCCTGTTGTGGGTTCCCTATCTGGGATGAGAGGATGGGTGTTTGGTGCCTCCCCAGGAAAAGTTGCTCCCAACAGATGGACAGCCCCATTCCTGCCTCCTAGCAACTGCCGGCCTCCCGCCCACCTGCAGTCCTGGCTCATCCAGCTCTTGCTCCAGGTCTTCCAGGAGAGTGACGGCCTCCTCTGCGCTCTCAGGGCAGTGCTGCTGCACCCAGGCCTGGAGCTCTCGGGGCAGGATGGTCAGGAACTGCTCCAGCACCAGCAGCTCCAGGATCTGCTCCTTGCTGTGGATCTCGGGCTGCAGCCACTCACAGCAGAGCACCCGAAGCTGGCTCAGTGCCTCTCGGGGCCCAGGAGTGTCATGGTACCCAAACTGCCTGAAGCGCTGACGGGATGTCTCTAGGCTAGGGCGGCACTTGTCCTTCTCGTCATCCTCTTCTGCTTTACGGGTCGAAGGCCCCATTGGCTCCTGAGGTGGCCTAGGGCCCAGAATTGTGGCCATGCCCACCACCTTGGTCATCACAGATTCCAGACACAGCAGGACCGTGGGGGGCAGGCCTGGTGCCTTTGAATTTCTGTTTCTTAAGGGTCACAATTCAAACCTAAAAAACATAGTTTCCATAAAGTTATCAAAAAACAAAAATATGTTTTTCTGGTTTTTCCCACAGGGGCCATCAGTCAACGACCACATAAAAAGTATTGTTCAGAGCTGGTGGGATGGTTCTGTGGATCAGAGTGTCTGCTGCTAGGCCTGACCACCCAGGTTTGACCTTTGGCAACCACACTGTGGTAGGCGAGAACCAACTTCTGCAAGTTGTCCTCTGACCCCCGCACGCGCACACACATATTTAAAAAGCATTGTTTAGAAATTTTGTTTACAGGAAAATGGGTGGAAGTGGAAATTATCATGTTATGCACGTTAAGCCAGACTCACCAAAGTAAGCTGAGCATGTTTTGTTTCTTCTCCTATGCAGAAGTTGAAGGGTGGGAGCAAACATGAAAGTAAAAGGGATATGGAAGAGATAAAGGGAGACTGAGAGGGACAAGAAAAGAGAACTAAGAACTAAATATGATCAAAACAATTGTATGCAGTGTGTTTGTTTGAAGAATAGCCCCTACAGACTCATATATTTGAAAGCTTAGTCACCAGCGATTATACTATCTGAAAAGATTAGGATTACGAGGTGTGGCCTTGTTGGAAGAAGTAGTGCCGCCAGGGGTGGGTTCTGAGGTTTCATACAGATCAGGATGTAGCTCTTAGCTACTGCTCCAGTGCCTGCCTGCATGTGGCCAGGCTTCCTGCCACGATGATAAAGTACTTAACCTCTGAACTGTAAGCCAGGCCCCAGTTAAATACTTACTCTTACAAGAGTTGGCTTGGTCATGGTGTCTCTTCACAGCGACAGAAAAGTAACTAAGAATGTGTGCTTGTAGATATCGCAATGAAGCCTGCCACTTTGTACAATTAATATGTACAAATTAGAAAAAAATATTGTTCAGAATCATTCTGGAGTCAGCAAAGCAGGGCGTACTTTCACTTGATGGTCTTATGTTCATTTTCCCCCAAAGGCCAGAGTGGCATAATTTTAAAATTAGATCTTTGCTCCTAAAGTTGTTTCACAAGTTTACAATTATACATATCATAGTTTCTATGATTTCAGCAAACTACCTAATATTGTCTGAACATAAAGAAGTCGACCCATCAAATGACTGCTTGTCAGCATGAGCTTGTCTGTCCCAGACTGGAATTGGCTGGCTTGTTAAAAAAGAATGAAGTATCGCTGGGGGTGGGGACAGTGCTGGCGTTCACCTTTAATCCCAGCACTCGGTAGGCCGAGGCAGGCGGATCTCTGGGAGTTTGAGGCCAGCCTGGTCTACAGAGTGAGTGCCAAGACAGGACAGCCAGGACTGTTACACAGAGAAACCCTGTCTCGAAAACAAACAAACAAACAAACAAAGAGAGAAACTAAAACGGAGTATAAGGGCTAGGTAGATTGCTCAGGAGTAGAGTATCTGTCTTGTGAAAGCAAACCTTTGGGTTCTACCACTAGCACCAAATAAATAAAGAAACAAAAATAATAAAAATCTAATTAGGATGAACTTTATCTAACTTTTTAAAAAATATTTATTTATTTATTATGTATACAATATTCTGTCTGTGTGTATGTCTGCAGGCCAGAAGAGGGCACCAGACCTCATTACAGATGGTTGTGAGCCACCACGTGGTCACCAGGAATTGAACTCAGGACCTTTGGAAGAGCAGGCAATACTCTTAACCACTGAGCCATCTCTCCAGCCCCCTACCTTTTTTTTTTTTTTAAAGAACATATTCAATTGGTTCTTTTGGGTGTGTGCATACTATTGCACAGATGAACTTTCCTGTGCATGTGTGTGTGTAGGTTAGAGGTCATAGGACATCTTTCTCTGTCACTGTTCCCCTTGTTCTTTGTTTTGAGACAGGGTCTTTCACTGAGCCTGGAGCTCTTGGATCACTAAGGCCCGCTGGCTGGCCAGCGAACCCAGGGATCCGCCTGTCTCTGCCCTTCTAGTACAGAGTTTAGGGACAAGCGGACGCCCTGGGTTTTTACCCGGGTGCTCAGGTCCTCATGCTTGCACAGAAAGCACTGTACTGACCAAGTCACTGCCCAAGACCCATGTCTAAGTGTTTATTTAACTGTCCTTAGCTTAAAAAAAAAAAGATTTTATTTTAAAGTCGTGTGTGTGCGCATGAGGGCAGGCCTGTGGAGGACAACAGTGGGGGCCCCTGAACTACAGACATGTGTGAACTGCCTGACGTGAGTGCTGGGAAACAACCAAGAGTCTTCTGCAAGAGCAGTGCAGATGCAGACTCAGCCACCCAGCCATTTCCCCAGCCCCGCCCTCGCTTTGTAGGCGTAGCTGGCCTCAAACTCTTGGAGATCCGCCTGCCTCTGCCTCCCCAGTGCTGGAATTAAAGGTGTGCGCCACCGCCACCACCACCACCACCACCACCACCACCACCACCACCACCACCACCACCGCCGCCGCCGCCGCCGCCGCCTGGCTCCCTTCCCCCTTTTAATTGATCGATTGTGTGTGTGTGCGCGCGTCAGGGTGGGGTGTATGCGTGCTACTACACACAGTATGTACTGAGGCCAGACAAAGGTGGCTTGCAAGACTCAGTTCTCTTGCCATCTTTTGTGGCACTGCTGTTGGATTTTGAACAATGGGTGGGAAGACAACAAATGTGTGTGTTGTTGGTACTTTTGACACAGGGTCTCGATGAATAGACTCGGCTGACCTGGAACTCAGAACCATTAGGCCAGCCTGTGAAAAATGTATATACAGCAAAACCTTCTCTCAAAAACAAACAACAACAACAAAACAAAAGGGAGGTGGGGAGAAGAAAAGGGTGGGAATGGGATAGGAATGAGAGAAAAGTTTCCACCTGACTGGCATGTTCTGGGGTGTTTTGTTTTTTGGCAAGATTTTTAAAAATCTGATAATAAACTATCTTGACATACCACCACTTCCCCCAAAGCCAGCCAGTAATTTGGTTATGCTGAGCTTACCATTTGGAGATGCCCTCCAGGTCTTGGTTTCTGAAAATTTCTTCAATGTTCATAAAATCAAAAAGCATGTGGGTGGAAAACACGTCTAATTTAACACCATCCCAGAAAAAAAAAAAAAAAACTTTAAAAACTCTACCTAAAGCTGGTTGTGGTGTGCAAGCCTTTAATCCCAGAGTTCGGGAGAAGGCAGAGGCAGGGGGATCACTGAGTTAGCAGCCAACCTGGTCTATGAGCAAGTTCCAGGACAGCTAGGTGTTAGCTACACACACACACACACACAAAACTGTCTTTAAAAACCACCACCACCACCATCAACAAAACCCAAAGCTATCTTAAAGGTTTAACTCGGCTGGCAAGATGGCTAGGTGAGTAATAAGTGCCCACATGATGTAAAAGAAGCACTGAATCAAGCAAATCATCCTTCACACACACACACACACACTCATACACACTCACACACACTCACACACACACACTCACACACTAAATACAATAAAAATAAGAAGCTTTTTAACTCTTGCAGTCTATCAGCAGAAGCAAATAGTCTAGTCAAGGCAGGCTTTTGGTCACTTCCCAATTTTTCCCTCCTTTATGCCAAACATGCAAAATGTATATACCCCTCTTAATCAACCTCAAATTCATTCTGCACAAGATGAGGTGTCCATAAATCAAAGTATCACAGATTGCAACAAATGAACAGCCATTACTACCCAGTGGCAGATAATGCCTTTAAGACAGTCTGTACTTGGGAACGCCAAGCTGAAGTCATGGTGACACACACCTGTAATTACTGCACTGAGCACTGGAGAGCAGAGACAGGAGGATCACCAATTATGCGACAGTCTGCACTATATAGCAAGACCCGGTCTCAAATCGAATAAACCAATTTTCAAAAAGCTTCTGGGCAAGCCAGTAAGTTTTAGGAGCATAACTGCACAGTGGATCTAATTGCTAAGAAAGTGTCCTTTAGACTGAGCCAAATCTGCATCATTTCAATAGCCCTGAACCAATATATTCTGTTTCTCCTTAGGAGGCTTCCAGCATTTGAAGAACAACTTTCGTGCCTGTTAATTTTCTGCTCACAGTTCTTTCAATTGTCTCCTTTCAACACAGATTTCCAAGTATGTCACCCACCAAATAAATTTACTTTCTCTCTCCTATACTCTGCTTACAAAAGATCCTCTAAAAATCTGTCCAAACTTGAGCAGATTCCCTGAACTGTGAACACAAAGCCCAAAGGGACTATTTCCCCGCCTGGGTTGGACATTACCCAAGATTAATGAGATTCGGGTTTTCACAGGACGTTCCTAACCTTGGGCTTGTTCTTAACAATTAGTCCCGAGCTTAAATCTCCGGGCGAGAGCTAGAGAAGAAAGAAGGCAGTTTCCGTCGGATAACATAAAGCTCAGTTGAAGGAGCTCAAAGAAAGCGATTCCGGAAGGGGGAAAAAAAAAAAAAAAGGGTTTTGTTGGAGAAAGCCCTTGGGGGTGGAAAAGGCTTACCATAGAGCGGCGCCTACAGCGGCTGGGCGCGGCGCTTCTCCCTAGACAACCTCCCAGAACCACTATGGGCGAATCCCTGGAACCAGAACCGCAGCCTGCTAAACCCGTTCCTCCCTCTCTAAACCTTTCGGCCAACATTCCTTTTCCCCGCCGCTAGGCTAACCTGGGACTCGCAGGCTCACCGTGACTCAGAACCGCTTCGGAGCCTGGAACCTGCACAGCCGCCGAGCAACCGCGCAGCCGGAAGTGCATCAGAGCCCCGCCCCACGGGAGGGGGCGCAGCCGCCCCTCTAGGAATCGGGGATTCTCGGTATCCTCCTGTCTGAGCCAAGTCTGGAGCTGTGCTGGACTTCATCTGTCCAGTACTTTTTTTTTTTTAACTTATTTTTTCTATTTCTTTTTTGTTCTCTCTTCCTTCCCCTCCTTCTCCCTCTCTCCTTCCCTTTTCCCTCGTTGTCTTTCTTTCTTTCTCTCTTTCTTTCTTTCTTGCCTTTTCTTTTGAAACAAACATCTCATTATGCAACTCTGGCTGGCTTGGAACTCTATGTATACCGTGCTGGCCTTATACTCAAAACGAGCTTCCCGTTCTCTCTCAAGAGTCAAGAGCTTGCTGTAGAAGCATGAGGACCTACGTTGGATTTCCAGCACCACATAAAAAGCCTGTGGTACATTACATGCCTGTAATCGCAGTACTGGAAGGATCCCTGAAGACACCTCGTCTCAAAATCAAGGTAGAGAAGCAACTGAAGATACTTGACATCAACCTCTGGCCTTTACATGTATGCACACACATGTGCTCACGTGAGCACAAAGAGAACAATCTGTCTAAACTTTCATGAAGAAACCAGTGTCTGGACAGATCAGATCCAGTACATACTGGAATGTTAATTGGTAGCAAAGCTGAGAGTAGAATTCGATTCTCTAATTGTATCCCAGTGGCTTAGACATGCTAGTGCTCTGTCATCAAGCAAGTCCCTGGCTCTAAAGATATATATCTATATCACTAGAGTTGAAAGTGGTGGCACACACCTGCAATGCCAGCACTTGGGTGTTGGAGGCTGGGTAATCAGGAGGTTAAGGTCATTCTCAGCTATATAAATTCTAGGCCAGCTTGGCTTTCATGAGACTCTGCCTTAAAAAAACTAAAAACCAAGTTAGCAGACAAAAATCCGAGATAGGATGATAAGTCGTTAATCAAGTTAAATCAAGTAATTTTATGATGATCCATGCTTTTTCTATTAATATAACCATGATGATATAACAAGAAAAATTAGTTACTGTGTTTCACCACATCCATTCCTTTTTCAGATTTTTTTTTTTTTTTTTGGAGACAGGGTTTCTGTAGGTTTTGGAGCCTCTGCTTCCCAAGTGCTGGGGTTAAAGGCATGCGTCACCACCGCTGTTGTCCTTTTTCAGAAATATTTTGATTTCTGATGAGTTCAGTGAACAAACACTTCTCAAGAATGTGCACTATATCAGGTATGTATTATGACACCCAAGTTTACAAGTAACAAATACACTGTTTTGGGATTGGGTAGATGGCTCATGGGTAAAGTGCTATTGTACTAAAGTAGCACAATCAAGGTAACTTATAGAAGGAAGGGTCTATGGTCCCAGAGCCATAAAGGATCACCATGGTTGGAGGCAGCAGGCCAGGCGTGACAGTTAAAGTGGCAAACTGAGAGCTCACGTCTTTTTTTAAAAAAATATTTTATTATGTATACAATATTCTGTTTGTGTGTATGCCATTAAAAATGGTTTGTGAGCCACCATATGGTTGCTGGGAATTGAACTCAGGACCTTTGGAAGAGCAGGCAATGCTCTTAACCTCTGAGCCATCTCTCCAGCCCCAAGCTCATGTCTTGAACTTCAAGTAGGAAGCATCAGAGCACAATGCAAATGGCAAGTCCTTCAATCAGTAGACAGAGGGAGACTGATCTGTCAGTTCAAGGCCACCCTTGGGTTATATGAAATGATCCAGTCTGAAAGAAAAAGGTGAGTCCAGCCCTTGGGATCACACACCTTTAATCCTGGCACTAGTGAGGTGCAGACAGGAGTGATATGGCTGGATGGAGGCATATAAGGTGGGAGGAGACAGGAGCTCAGTGCAGTCTGAGGCGGTGATCTGAGAACAGGATGACCCATTTGGTCTGAGTATTGGTAGAGGTAAGAACTCTAGTGGCTGGTCTTTCTGCTTCTCTGATCCTTCAGCTTTCACCCGGATAGGTTTTATTATTATGACCAATTAGCATTTGTGCTACATCTGGGACCCAACTTTTGGGGTATGAATTCATGAAAAAGCCACTTGCCAGTAGCTACACGTGGCCACAGTCACCACCCCAGGGCTAGGTTTTTCCCTGGACCCCTTCTTGGGCTGCTGCCAAACATGCACAACAGGAGTCAGTCTCACATCTTCATTGTCATCGGCAGCAGATCTGGTGAGAAAACTGGTCATTCTTAAAGGGAGGAACTAGTTAAAAGAGGGTTTATGCCACGATAGAGCTAGGTTTCTGTATAATTATGTAATGCATGATTTAAAAATGGAAGAATTAAATGAAGGAATAATCAGCTTAATTGGGATTGACATACTGTTAATTATCACTTGGGTAATCCTTGTTACTGTTTTGATACTTCTTGGTTTATCTCTTAAAAAGTTGTTTGGTTTGAGTGCCAAGATACAGGCCTTAGAAAAACTTAATAAAATAGATCATAGAGATATTCAAATACAGACAGAGGAATTTAAAGGAGAACCAATTCCAGCGTTGTACTATAAGGCTAGAGAAGAACAGCCTAAGGTTTTCAAACAACCAACCTTAATATATCCTGCAATCTTATAGGAACAACTGCCAAAGGATAGATATCTCCAAGGCCATGCAAGAGTTAAATGGACTCCTGTGGAAATATTAGATTTAAAGGGATTAAAGGAAGCAATAGTCTCATATGGCCTGCAATTCACCTTTTGTAAAGCAGATGTTAAACTCATGGTTAACTTGTAGTTGAATTATCCCTCAAGACTGAAGAGACTTGGTTACAGCAGTCTTGGAGTCTGGTCCTCAGTTACAATGGAGGACCTGGTGGAAAAATGAGGCTAAGGCTATTGAACAACAAAATAGGGCTAGAGGTATGAAAATATCCCAAGATCAACTTCTTGGAGAGGGAGATTATGCTGATGTACAAAGGCAATCCCTATATGATGACCACAATCTGAATTTATATTGTACAGCAGTTTTGAATGCTTAGAACAAAATTGGAGAAATAGTAAAGAAAACTGAGTCATTTGCTAAGGTCATACAGGACCCAAAAGAAACCTTCACTGATTTCTTACAAAGTTTGACATCAGCAGTAAAGAGGATGATACCAAATTCAGAAGCTAGACAAATAATAATTGAATCTCTGGCTTTTGAAAATGCTAATTCTCAATGCAAAAGGATAAGTAGGCCTTTAAAGGCAAGGTCAGCACCTTTGGAGGAATGGATCTGAGATACAATCAATATCGAATCTCATGACCATGATGATGCCTGGATAGGAGAGGAGATTTCCAGAGGTTTGAGGAAAAATCAAAATACCAAGTGTTTCAATTGTGGCAAACAAGGTCACCTTAAAAGGGATCGTAAATGTAAATAGGGGGACTCCTAGAAAAAATGTTTTTTCTATGCATAATCCAAACAGAATGCCCCTCTCTTCCCGATTATGCAGAAGGTGTGGCAAAGGCAGGCACTGGACTAATGAATGTAGAATAAGGGACCGTCAAGATAATCTGCTGTTGGGAAACACCTTGAGGGGCCGCTTACAGGCTTCCATGTCAAATTTGGTTCATTTGTTTCATGTCATCGTGGAGGAAACTCCTTCCCAGAGTAATTAAAGAACCTAGTGCCTGTTCTAAGAAACCATACTGCTCTGGATGACTGAAGAGCTTTAGAAGATAAAACAAAAATTTCAGGAGAAACCATAAATCAAAATTGATAAAGATTAGGTTAGCAACCTCTCTAAAGTTAGGGTTGGGTCAGGGTTTCGCTTTTGTTTTCCCAGGAAAATAAAAACAAACATCTTGAGGAATTTAAAGATCTTTGGACAAATAAGCATCCAAAGAAAAAGGGAGAACTACCTGGAAAAAATTACTGAGAAAAGGAATAATCTGGCCTAATGTCATCTCTGAAGTCTCCAAAAAGGTGATGGGATCTCACAATGACGATACCGCCTGGATTATAACACCACTAAGCTGAAAAACACCATTACAGATAGGCTTTGGAATACAAACTGCTCAGAACAATTTCAAGATGGCTACTTGAGATGATCCAGCCTCACAGACTACTCTAGCCAGGACTTGAGACAAGCTCTGTACTTTCCCATTACAGACTGTACAACAAAAAAGCTACCTCTGTCAGGACTTGACAATTAACCCAAATTTTTCTTTTCAAGATCCCCTAAAGATGCTGTCACCCCCAGACAGCAGGAAGTAAATTTAAGAACACAAAGCCCACATTCCAAAGAGATGAGGTGGGTGGTTTTTGGTCTTTCATTGGGTTATGGGTATTTGTCATTGTTTAGGGGAATTGGTTACAAGTTGTTATTGGTGATGGTCAGGAAAAAAAGCTGAACAAAGGAGATTAGATTCAGGAGTCCTTTTTTTTTTAAGGGAAAATACAGATATGACAGGATAAAAGGGTAGAGTATTGAATCTACTCTGAAAAGGAAAAAGGGAGGAATAGATATGATGATATAAAAAGATTGAATCTACTTTTAAAAAGCAACTACTAGTTTTAAATATTTTACATTGGATTGGACTTTTGTATATTGTATACAAATTTTGTTTATTGATATAAATTTAAGATTAATTGCCACATCCACGGCTGTCTCGCCTGTGTGACAAAATGCCTCTCAAGTGGTAGCCCTCTCAAAATGAGGGGCTCGTGCTTCCTGGAACTTGCCCCCCCCCCGCCCCCTCCCCCCCACGGCTCCCTGGCAGTCTGCTTGAGTTGTGGTGCCTGATCAGCCTCAATGACTTCGTTCACTTTGTTCCTGGCGATGGTTTCTTGCGTTGGCTCTGCTATCTTTTTTTTCTGTTCTACTTTTCTCTTGATAAAAACTTAATCTGTTCAAGGAACCAGGAACCATTCCCAACGGCTCCTTGAAAACGGAGGAACTGATGCGTCAGTTCCCTCCCTTGATTCAGGCCATTAATGTTATGATTAAGACTGTGGCTCGCTCTCTGGGGGAATTTACAGATACCCTAGAACAGAAAAAGCTCATGATAGGAGAGTTGGTAGAAGATGGGTAAATTATGAAGGAAAATGTATGGAATGGCATGAGTTACCATTTATGGAGAGGCTAGCCAGAATGAGAAACCCCTGGTGCATTTTAGATAGGAAAAAAAAGGCAGGCTATTCTTGATAACATGAAGCCAGCCATTCAATATTGGAGCAAACCCTGGGGGTGGAATCCTGAAGAATGGTGTTTGGGTTACTTTGGTTACCTTGAGGGCAGATATGATTTAGGGTCATGAGAAAGCGCAGTTGGTCAATGGTGTGAGACGAATTTCAAAGAAAAGCTCTGCCTACCTGGCCCTGACCAGAAGACATGCTGAGAATAATCAATTGCCTGTAATCATTTTCTTTATGTAAGCTTTTATGTCTGTCAACTTCCTTCTGTAATCTCTTAAAAGTGATGCTTGAATTTTAGTAAAACTGCAGCAGATTCAAACCTCATTAGAGTTGTGTCTGTCTGTCATTTGCCGAATCCTGGGTTCTCCTTAGCCTTCACCCCTGTTCTCCCTTGGTCTTCGATCTCCAAGAGAGTCGGTCCGCAGCAATTAGTTTTGTTAAAACATACTGTACATACATTTCTAATTTTATTCAAGATATTGTACCTACAGAGCTCATTTAACAATGTAAGGCAAATTTCTAGTTCTTGAAAGTTATTATTACCAACTGTTTAGCATAATAAGGGAATGCAGGTTAGTAATTAGTCATCTATTACAATTAAACTTGTAATCATATTAGGTGAGTTTTCAAAATCAAAAGAGATATAGTTTAGACAGGTTGTCTTCAAACACTTCAGAGATCTACAGAATATGGTATTTAAGATGTTTTAGTAACATAGGTTCTTTTTTTTTTTTTTTATGACACAGAGACATTCCTGGTAGCACCAATCTATTTTAGAGATGATGATGGGCATTGAAGAAACTCAATATGGAGTTTACTTTCTTTGTGGCAAAAGGAATCCATTGGGCAAGAAAGTGCCCTTGCCTCAATTGCTGACAGTATGCTGTCCTAGTTGGAGAAGCAGGACACAAAAGAGAGTGCTGGGATTAAAGGCACGTGCCACCACCACTCAGCTCCTTTTTTTTTTTTTAATTTTTATTTATTTATTTATTTTTTATCCTTTTAAGACAGAGTTTCTCTATAGCTTTGGAGCCTGTCCTGAAACTAGCTCTTGTAGACCGGGCTGGCTTCAAACTCAACTCAGAGTTTGCCTGCCTCCCAAGTGCTGGGACTAAAGGCATGTGCCACCACCGCCTGGCCTTAAATGTATGCTTTTGCTTAAATGTATGCCTGTGCATATGCATGCCTAGTGCCCTTAGAGGCCACAGATAGTACTGGATCCCCTAGAACTGTGCTGTGAACGTCAATGTTGGTTCTGGGAACTGAAATTATCCTAAGAGCAGCAAGTGTTCTTAACCTCTGAGCCACTATTCCAACGCTATTTTTTAAATTTATTTATTACGTATACAATATTCTGTCTGTGTGTATGCCTGAAGGCCAGAAGAGGGCACCAGACCCCATTACAGATGGTTGTGAGCCACCATGTGGTTGCTGGGAATTGAACTCAGGACCTTTGGAAGAGCAGGCAATGCTCTTAACCTCTGAGCCATCTCTCCAGTCCCTCCAATGCTATTTTTTAAATATAAATATGTATCTATATCTTACGTTTTTGTTTCCTCCATCACATCTCTGCAGAGCAAGCAAAGCAGGAACAAGCATACTGACTCAAGGAGTTTGAAACTGAAGCAAATGAAAATCAGAGCACTTTGAACCTCTTCCAGAGTTTCTGAATACGATGAATAAATCAATTATTTAATTGAGAGAAAGTAAAAAAAGATGCCAATTTTGTATAAGAACTTAGTGGACTGCAGTTCTAATTTAAAAGTATTTTTGTATATTTGTGTATGCATACAGAAGAGGTATCCAGGGGACTTATGAGCTGCCTGCATAGGTTCTCTGAAAGAACAAATGCTCTTAACCTATGAGCCACCTCTCCATTTAAATACGACAAAGTAAAAACCAAGATTAAGTTCTATGCAAAGCTAAAGGGTGGCAGTTCTACTTTCTAAACTTTGGACCTCTACCAACATCTGCATTTGGATATGTGTACACACTAATTTGTGCTTGCTGATGCCAGGGGGCCACCATGGGCATCATTCCTCAGAAGCTGTCCACCTTTTTTGACAATGGCTCTCTGTCTTGGCTGGAACTAACCAATAAATCGTAGGAATCTTCCTGTTCATACCTCCCCAACCCAGCCTTCCTTTGCTTGAGTTCTGGTATTCAAACTTAGGTCTTGATGGACTGAGCTATCTCCCCAGCCCTGAAAACCCAACTTTAACATAACCAAAAGATGACAAAACAATCACTAGGATTGCCTGCTGGGAACACAATTTATTATTTTACCAAGTCCCAGGAGACACCACACTTGCTATGTATTCCAGCATCTGACCCCACTTCTCCTGAAGTGGACCACAGACTATTCCTAAGTGCACTCTCCTTCCCCCTCTTCTTCTAAGCGCTCACACAGCCCAGGCTGGCCTCAGACTTACCACATAACCAAAGATGACCCTGAATCCTTTTTGCCACTATTGCCCCAGGGCTCAGATCACTGGTGTGGGCCGCCTTCCCTGGTTTAGGTGGTATGAACTTGGAGTTGGGGCAAGCACTCACCACATGCCCAGCTTTCCATTTCTCTTTTGAAACTTTAGCTTTCAACCAGGGCTTCAACTTATTTTGAAAGAGTTCTATAGCTTTAAGAAAAACAAAGAAACAAATCCAAAAGACCCATTTTCTCCCATTACTTAGCAAAAGGAGTCTATAGAATTATGAATGAGGATTTAAAACAAATTCCATTTAAAATTTTTATTGAACACCAACTAAGTGTCTGGACTCTTTAGAGGCTGATCAAATCAAAGAAAGATCCAATTTTTAATAGCAATGATTTAATCCTGCTGACATACAAAGTTTCTTCTTTGGGTCTAATTGATGCTAATATAAGCTGGGAATGGACAAAAGAGGATAGTTTTCCTAGCCTATAAATGAAAAGACAGTGCCTGAGTTAACTATCGTGTTGACCTGGCTGTAATGAAAAAGGTTTTAAAAATACACTCAATTTTTTGCTCGCATAACCAACTCTAACCCTTAACACTCATATTTTCTCCCACCCACACCCCATGAATTTCAGTAAGGGAGCTGGTAATCCCCGTTACCAGCATAAGCCTTCTTTTGGGGCCGGGCAATGCTGGAGGTCACATCCAGGGCCTAGTATATGCTAGGCAATCGCTCTTCTTCCGAGTCACATCTCCTACCATTATCTGGGTATTCTAGCAAATGCTCAGCTTGGCCACGCCCCCAAATACTCAACTAGGGAATTCTAAGCAAGTGCTGAACCATGTCCTGGGGCCACTCACACTCATGGGACACTCTAAGTAAATGGTTTTTATTGAGCTACACCCCTCACAGAGGAGTCTACACAAGTCTTACACGCCAGTCCAGCTAGGGCAGACTAGAAACTTCAAGCTGTTACCAATTAGTCTTAATTGAGAGGAAGGTGAGAAAGCTCTGCCCCCTCTACCCCTGCCCCATGAGAGATCAAGTCTTTCTGCCCTCAGCACTTTCTTAGCAGATCTTAAGGCTATGGGAACTTTCTTGGCCATTCTTTTGTAATACATCTGATCTTGTCCGGAGACTACAGGATAAGTGAGACTCAGTGTGACTGGTCACCCTTTCGTGAACCAAAACGACTTACCCCCAATCTCAAACTGTAACGAAATACAAGCTTTGGTCCAGCCTCTTCCAATCTTTCAGAAATCTCATTCTTCCATCTTCAAGCACTGGGCCAAATTTACTTAATGAGTGCTTATGAATCAAGACCATTTTAAAGACCAATTAACTTGGCTAATGACTGTGTAATTTGAAGTTGAGTCGGTTTGTGGAAGGGGGCGAGTCACAACCTACAAGATTTAAAAACAACCCCCCTGCCCAAAAAAAAAAAAAAACAACTCAAAATCTGTTCTTTTTTTAATCACAGCAGACCATAATTCACTGGGTTTTTTTTTCCCCCCCATTTGGGACCATGGCTCAGAGCTGACTAACCTTTATTCTCTCCATTCTGCTGTTTAGAATATTAGAGAAAAACATGGGATTGGTGGTATCAACTAGGAAAGAAGCAGACAACAGGAAACTAAGTTCTCATAGTAAGACATTAGTTATTATGTATGGCAAAAGGATTTCCCAAACTTATGCTTGACCTGCAGTATTGGAGATGGCTTACCTTACCTAAAACTTCAAGTTTGTTTTACAAAGTTTTGAAAAGCAAAACAGGTATTTCCAGACATAATAAAAAATCTGAATAGCAAAATAAGTAACTGCTTTAAAATGTAAAGTAGTATTTCCATACAAGAGCAAAGCCTAGATCTGTTAGGTACTTTTCCAACAATGCTCATTGTCTCTAATAGTAGCTGAAATAAAAATCTACCCTAACTTCTATAAGTGATCTATTTAGACCATTTAAGTTTGCGTCTCTGGTTCTATATTTCATTCAATTCACAGACCTTTGCTTCCCTAATAGGAAATCCCAACATAATCCTATTTCTGTGGACACAGGCTGGCTGTGAACTGTGATCTGTCTCAGCCTCTTGAGTGCTGGGATTACAGGCCTGTACCACTATGCCTGCCTCCCTTATGGATATACACGTACATAGTTAATTTTTTTTTTTTTTGATAGGATCTCCTGTGGTTCAGACTGGTCTCAAACTTGCTGACAGAGGATGATCCCGAACCCCTGATCCTGCCTCTATCTCCCAAGTGCTAGGATTATAGGCATGGCCACCACATCCTTTTGATGCAGTGCCGGGGATGGATCCACACCCCAGGCTTCGCTCACACACTTCTGAGAGTCGCTCATAGTGAGTGGGACACAGAAAATGGCTCTTCTGGCAAGCTTGCTGCATTGAGGGTTTCAGCTCTGCCACTCCAAGTGACAAAATTAGTCTTCCATGAGGATGGCAAGATGAACCTGATTAGTTCCCTTTTGATAAACAGATCAGTATACCTATTGGAAATAAAGTTGACAATTCTAGGATGAAAACTGAAATCAATAAATATTCACAGCTATGAATCTTCAAACACTGTCTCCTAAGCATCAATGTGCCAGAGAATGGGAGCAAGGAAAGAACCTTGCAGCAGAGTCAAAGTAAATCTTGCAATGCTCCTCAAACTCTGAGATAGCCCTCCACCTCTCCAAGACAGAACGGCATTTCCTGAAAAGTAGCCCTTCCTGTGGACCGAGTCCCCACTCTTCTACGCAGAGGGTTTACGAGGGAAAACAGGACTGTGGTTACTGTGGGCAGCCTAGCTGTTCTGTATACTTCCTATCCTCTGCTGAGTGTATGTTCTCCTCAAGCATATTAACACTGGAGCAGCCACAACCCACCGGTTCC